TTAGGCCAAACAGAAATGCTTGAAAATTTAACAGGAGGTTTATTATGAATTGAAATTAGTGGTTAACAAGAAAATGTTGAGTTTAATGTAGTATTTATTTTTTATAATAATTTTAATATCAAATTTTGCTGAAAACCTTTAATATTACCTATGACAAATCACGTATAACCGAACTCTGCTCAGAACAGTTTTTGTTGATTAATCGTTACGTACAGATATCTATTAAATTCTCCTTTTTATCTTACCCCTTCATCCTTGCGAAGTATGTCCGTTTTTTTAATATAAATATAATATCGTTTTATTAGCATAATATTTTTATCTTCTAAATTTATACAAAATTATATTATTCTTTTACTACAAAATTGTATAACTTCGGATATTATAACCAAAAATAGTTAAATAATAATAATACTATCGTGCACATGTTTTCACTGTATGTAGGTAGTTTGCGTGTAGCCTAACTGTAGCCGCTGTTGTAGATTTAGAAATTTATTAGAAACTATTGGTTATTTATCATAAAGCTATTAATTAAATAGTGATACTTATAGTTCTAGTTATAGTGAAATATTTGTCTGCTTTTACTAATGACACACAGTACACGCTACGGTATTCTAGAAATATACTAATTCGCGTTATTTGTAATGTTCCTTTATGAATTGTAAAATGTATAATGTTTTTTATACTAAACTACCAATGCTAGACGGTATACCCACCCCTTAAATTAGGTGTGGCATATAGGTTCAGCGCCACTAATTGGGGGAGGATCCCAAGAAGCCTACCCAACTAATTGTACATTTGAACCCAAATATACTTGTCATATTCACATTCCTTTTTCTCATTATAGCTTAAAACTACAGAAATAAATTTAAATTCTTCGATATTGATTATAGTTAATGAGAAGGTAAAAACTAACAATAAACAATTGTGTGTCGAATGGGTATTATGCCAGTTATTTTTAAATACACTGATAACATATTGATATTTTTTACCCGTTATCTAATAATGGAATTTATATCATTATAATTAAATAATAATTACAATATATTTTTACATATTTCACTAAACTAGGTGTCAGGGGTGTCTAACCCATGTCTTAGAAAATAATTTAGTTTCCAAATACATTTTAAAACCATGCATCAAAAAGCATGTATATTTCATTATATCCAACTTTAAATATTATGAAAAAAATAAAAACCATCCCGTATCATGATTTACTTTATTATTTTTTTTTTTACTAAGAATTGATTTTCAAACAAAATAAAAAGATGATTGTAAAGCGGTTAATTTAAGTGTCTTATTTTTTAAAGTAATCCATGCCACCATCATCCATTTACCAAAAAGTTTAAATATACTTTTAGTAAACCAATAATATTTATAATAAACATAATTAATTAAAATTAAGCTCGTTTTATAATTGCGTTTTGAATGTTGTAAATAATATTAATATATTAATATACACTTTTATACTTGTATCAAAAGGTAGGTACATTATTCAATAGGTACTTGATTAATTACACTAAGGTAAATAAAATTAGTGCCTGCCATCAGTCACTGTATCCTGGTATCTTGTAATATTTCTAAATTTTAAATAATTTTTTTAGTTTGATTAAATTTATTTAGACAAATTTTTCTAGTGTAAAACTTAAAACTAGTATTATTTAATCTAGGAACTAGTTTTTCTCACTGTTATTTGTACAGTGATTATATTACATAGTTTGAAATTTAAGAAAAGCTTATACAAATATCATACTTTTAAAAATATATAAATACAATTTATGATGCACATTTTGCTATTCAATTGTAGTTTAGTAGAATTCAAGATATATGTATTAATAGAGTTAAACTATTTTCCATTCTCTTTTCTCAACATTTTAATCACTTGCACAATGCATGTTATACTTTCACTACTTATAGTATATAGTAGTTATTCACTATATAGGTATCTTGTGAAAGTATGAACCATTAAGAGGGTTTGCTGCCACCTGTAATTTGACTGTAAAAATAGTTTTGCGTGGAAAAAAACTAGTCAAACTATAGACTTCATTAAAAAAATCAAATTATCGTGGAAAAAGATAACTTTAATTATACAATGTTGGTTTATTTTTTGATAATACAAATACAAAAAAGTTTGTAATTGGTAGTTTTAGTTTCTTCAAACTTGAATACATAACTTTATTTGGAACAGTGATATTGAAAAACTATACCTTGACATTACACATTTCAAGTTCTTTCTGTTATATAATGAATATGGTTATATATTTATATACCATATATTGTAGTTTCTGAACTAAATCTGTAGCTCAAGTAGTTTTTACCCCTGTGAAGCAGATTTTCTTAAATATTTTTGTGAATTTCATGATTAATTCTAGTAAATATTTTTGAATTAATCAAATTTAATTTTTCCAAAAATATCTAGAAAATTCCCTATTTTCAACACTTTAAGTACGGAATATGACATGTCCTCTTAACTAAGAATATATTTTGATTGTGGAAACTTTATAGAAAATATTGAAATAGGTATAGTTATAGGTATAGGTATATAGTTTCTGTTAATGATTAATTCCTACGTGATAATGGCCTAAATAATAAAATGACCTTAAGAATTAAATTGAATAAAAATATCTTGAACTCATTCATTTAAAAATAGTCTTATCTTGAATATTATATAAAAATGTAGGTACCATATTAAAAAAAATATTTAATTTGAATAAATATGTAACAAAAATTAGTATAGTAGTCATTAGTGAAAATTTTAAGGTAGTTGTAGTGGAGATATGTTAAAATTACAGAATTTATTGTTGTACAGACATAAACATAAGTTGTATGCTTACTATAATACATTGCTAAAATAATAAAATATTACCTATTTTATAATCTAAGTTCAACTCTACTGTTATATTATATTAAAGCTTTATCAACTTTTAATTTCAATACTATTATTTTTTTAATTCTCTTATTGACAATTGGTAAAGGTTTAGAGTGGAAGATCTTAAAAGGGTAATCTAAAAATAGATAAGAAATGAACAGTTAATCTTATTACTCTGTTAGTTATTTCATTAGTCATTATTTGTTATTTAATCAGTTATTGTCAATTGGTAAATGAACATTGATCCTCTAAAGTTTTAGATTCTGAGTGGAGTGAAGAAGCTTATGGTTTAGCAATGATGTTTATTTTTCTTTTTCTGTAGACAACTTTTTTATCGGTAATTTAAAAAAAAATAGGGATTTATGTTTATACATCTTTGTATATATATATATATCTTTTGTCCATGTGTGTCACTGAACTCTTCCTAAACAGCTGGACTGATTTTGATGATATTTTTTTGTGTGTGTTTGAATGAGTTTTTGGATGGTTTAGACTCATGATTGGACCTGGTAGGTGGCTTTCCAAGGGTGGCTGACACAGGGTTAATGGTAATTTTAGTACAGCGATCAAATTATGGGTTACCTTGATGAAATCAAAAAACAAAAAAATAAATAAATAGTAAGATAGTTTGTGTAAGGTGTCCTAAAATTGAAGTGTCCATCTGATAGAAAATTAATAAACAAAGATCCAAGTATCCAAATAAAAATTAAAACTGTTAACAGTGAGTATGAATAAAAATTATTTTTTAAATATTTATGGATTGCAATTTATATGTATATAAAGTAATCGATGTTTTAAATGGTGACACCCTAACTTGAAACGGATAGATCGATTTGACTGATTTTTTTGTTGTGTTTGTAGTTACCAGGACATGATTTTATGAAATTTTTTGGAAAAGTCGTAAATTTAGATAGTATTTTTGTATGAAAACCTCAATACTTTTTTTAAAATTAATTTGTATCACCATATCACCGAGGTAACCTGTAAATTAATAAAAATTTGTTGATTGACGTCCAGTTTTACCATCACATGTTTCCATAGCAATAGGGTATTGATTATAAATTAAAATAAAGGTCTGTAGGAAAGAACATTTTTAGAAAATCTATTGGAAAAGTTGAAAATTTAAATGAATTTAAGTCATGGTGTCACCAAAATTATCAATTAATTTTTATATATCTGATTATTGATTAACAATCGAGTTATTAATTTTATATAAATATACATTTACAACCTACAATTGCTCTCTCACTGTTGGGCGTCCCTACCTTTGAAATTCACTCCTTCCAAAATTCGATTTTAAAATATTTTTGGTCATTCATAATTGTATATCATGAAAATATGTCACAACTGAACACTTTTAGTATGCCGAAGGTCAAAACGAAAATGGAATATGGGTAAAAATAATAAAAAGTTAGCACTGTCAATGGCAGGTGGGACAGCTAGTATTGTATATTTATTTTTTTTAAAGTATAAAGTACTATTACATGATAAAAATGATGAATTTAGATTTTTGATTATTTGATTTACATTAATTACTATTGCTGACCTTTTATATTAAAATTAATTTGATACACATAATGTATATTTATATAGTTATATAAGTAAACATTGTGGTTAATGGTAATTGTGGTTTCCTGTAATTCCGATTATTAATGTTTCAGCCTGTTGGATAATACCTAATAAGATAAAAAAAAAATGAAAACATAATTTCAACAATCTTTTGTACTATTTAACATTAATGCTATTGAATATTCTAGTTTATCATTATTATTATATTTAATTCATGGTCTCTAATATAAAAATTATGTAGCTATTATAGATAAGTAGGTATTAAAAAATAATAACAATGATTTTGTCTACTTGAATTACAATAGATATGTCACAAATCCTAAGACACTTTTAAATGTTATCTAATCAATTATTTAAAGAAAAAAATTATGTTACAAGTGTTTTAGTCTACCACCTAATTATTTAATTAATGATTATTTTTGTGTAATAGGTAATATATTTGTGTGCTACTTTTAAAAACAACTGTTTTAGTAAAGTAAATTTTTACCAATTTTCAACTTTTACGTTTAGTATTTTTTTAGTGCTAGAAGTATTAAGGCAATTTTCAATTATTTCAGTTAGAAACATGGGTGATCACGAACACCACCATATGGAAAATGTGACTCCTACACCAAGTGATTCTTGTTGTTCTGATACAGGAACAACAACAAGTAGTGGTCAACATATGATGCATCATATGATGTCGGTAAGTTACATGTGTGTATACAACAAATTATTTTTCAAAGAAACAATATCAAACATTTTATTTTTAGATGTCATTTCATTTTGGCACAAATGAAACTGTATTATTTGATTGGTGGAAATTTTCAACAACTAGTGGACTGGTGTACTCAATGATAGGAATATTTTTAATGGCAACATTATATGAAGGACTAAAGTACTTTAGGTAATTTAATATTTTTCAATCGGAAATAGTAAATGATTTAAATGTTATTATTTTTCTTCAGAGAATATTTATTTTGGAAATCATATAATGCTATACAGTACAAATCTGTACAGATTCCATTGGAAAAAGGATCAAATGATCCTGTTTCACAGTAAGTACAATTATTTGCATTAATTATAAGTAGTGTTGTATATCATTAAGGCTGTAATTTAAAAAATAGAAAATATATTTTTATAATGTTTTTAGTCGTACCTCTGTAACAAACATAATTGTCAACAGAAGTTCTGTATACTATTTTAAATATCTATTATTCCGTTGCATTTTTTGAATATAAATTAAATAGGTTTTCAGTTTAAACGGAAAATATCTATGGTGTGGCTCGGCCTCCTATCTTAATTATTTTAAATTCTGCAAACAATGCATTCTATCAGAAATCTTTTGATATCTAAAAAAGTTTTCATAATAATTGAGAAAAACCAAAATAATACAATTTTTTTCAAATTACAGGGCAAAGATTTCATTAAGTATTTAAACATTTTAAGATAATATTTTTTTTACCAGAAATCTGTCCTAATTTCAAAAATATAATATTTTCTAAAAGAAAATTTTTTCTAGTTTGTGAGTGAGAATATCTTGATTTTCTATACAGTTTTCCTTGTAATTACAAACAAAAATTTAAGAAATACAGCAAAGTGTACATCATTTTGGTTCATTGTTATCAGTTAAAAATTATTGTAAGAGACCTGTAGTTTTCACAAAATACTTATATTGGTCTAAATTTTTAAAACATTCTAATGATTTTTAGGCTATTTAGAGCCTTATAGGTGTTGGATATTTTAGTGATTCTATATGTATTTTTATTTGGTAGGTATCTGTTATTAAAATTATATGAGAAATGCTTGAAAATTTAATACAATGTACATTATAAGTGTCCTGAGTTATCTAAAAAACAAATTTGAGTTAATGTGTTAGTTTTTTTTTTATAAGTATTTTAAGATTACATCATTTCTAAATATGTCCTTTTCATTAGCATAGGTTTATCTTTGTGTTTATACAATTTAAATAACTATGTATCATACCTTCTCAATTTCCTATCTACAACAATGGTTGCACCTTCCCTCAGTATCAGCATTTTTTTTTTACTCTAAACTAGTTTAAGTTTTAAAATATCTCAACTCAATGGAATTTAAGCATTTTGTTGTTAAACTCAAACATTGATCAAATTTTAATATTGATATAGAAATATAAAAATAAACATATTAATTAATAGTAAAAATAAATTTTTTTTTATAAGATTCCTAAACATACAAATTTATATTAATATTAATTTATTATTAATACAATAATTGTATTTTCTGCACTACCTACCAATCTTTTTCATTCATTTTTCAAAGTAACAATTTGCATATTTTACATTTTACTTAATTAACTTTTAGAGATGAGAAAATTCTATAGGTAAAAGTAGTCTTTACATTAGGCTTAAAAATCAGGGAATTTATGAAAGTTATTTAAAAAAATTCAACAAATTTGAAATTTGTGATGAGAAATTAATGAAAAATTATTAATTTTTATTAGTTAGAAGAAATATGGTTAATATATTGAATTTTTGTAGTGTTCAAAAATGAATGAAAATAATTAAAACTGATTAGTGATGCAGAACATACAATAGATATTACTTTTCTATAAAATATACATACATTAAACTGTATTTGTTTTTTTAAGTTTGGTTAGGTAAGGTTACAACCTTATCTAGGTTTAAAAGTATTAAAAATTATTTATTTAATATAAATATTAGCTAAAACAAGTGAATTAATTAAAGAACTTTTTTTTCTTTTTTTCTTTGTGCAATTTATTTGTATTTACTATATAAATAATTACTAATACAGAAATAATTATTTAATATACAATATACACAGCCATATCGTTTTTGACCACGCTGCATAATTTAACTAATTAGCTTCATTAATAAAATAATTTTTTTTTTACTTATGTTCATATATTTTTGGTGAAAATCTAATAACTAAAATACAAATTTTATTTCAGAATGGTTGGGAAAGTGCTTTTAAAACAGCCTCTGTAAGTGTAATAAGAAAGGTTTAACTTTTTTAACTGCATGGCTTTTAACTCGATTATTTTGAATATAGTATCTAACTTGTTTGATTTGAATTTATTGCTTTTTTTTTATTTTGTGTATATTTTGCTTGAAAAATTATTGTTTTTTTTATTAGTTAGTAGTGCATTAATGGTTTATATTTTAGTTAGAATTTTTTTTATATATATCACATATTATTTTGAATATAGGACACATTCGGTTTCATTGGTATGTTTAATTAAAGGTAAATTCATGTCATAACTAAATATATAATATACAACAAAAGCATAACAATTATTTTTAAACATTCATTTTATTGATGAATGTATCTAAAAATGATATTAAAAAGTTTGGCATCTTTTAAAAATAATTAAAAACTTAACAATTTAAATTATAGAGGTGATAATTGTCAGTCCATTTATTACTGTGTAAAAATATAAATACCGTTAAATTTAATTATCAATAATGTTCTGTTTTTGTATGTTATATTAGTATAGTGTTCATATGAAAAAAAAAAATTAAAAAGAAACATAGCAAATTAAATCTGTAAATTATTTTGTTATAGTTATATTGGCCTCGTATGATAAATTATGTAGGGGGTGGGTCTAGCCTCATTATAATTTTTTCAATGTACAGAGTCTGTTCAAAAATTCTAAATTCTGAGATGGACATTCTAAGCCTGGATAATCACCACATGTTTAGTCCACTTATTAAACTGTATCTGTGTAATGTTTTTGATTCTTAAATTACAATTCCTGAATTTGTTGAAATATTTAATTTTCTTAATGAAGTTTACCCAAATTCATTAATGATTTGAGTTTTAATAATTATTAATACTACTAAAATTATTTTTAATTCTTAATTGATGTATCCATAATCTAAATACATACATTTTAAGACTACTTGCTTAAATATAACTAAAAGAATAATAAACATAATACTTATTTATTTGAAATATTTTTTAATTAATATCGAGATTGAATAATTACATATTCAGTTATTGCATTGTTCGATATTTGTTCATTTGGTATATTAATTTTAGATTCTGAACATAGCAGGTAAGTTATACTGAAATATATCTTCTACTTCAATTGTGAATCTGTACATTTGATGAAGATTTAGTCAAATGCCATCATTGTTTAATTTTTTTAATTACAAAAAATAATAATTCATTAAATATGTATACTATTATATTATATTATTCTTCAACATTGTTTTTAAGACTATGTTGTATTATTTAAATTTTAAATGTACATATTAAAACTTATATGTCTATAATAGACTTGGTATTAATATTGATTATTATATTACAATAATTGTATTAGGTCGGTATTTATTATTGAAAATATTGCATACTGATAAAACTGATATAAATATTTGCAATACAATTTTTATTTGTTTATTTTTCAATTTGCATGTTAATTAATAATTTTAGTTGTTTGAACTTGCTTTAAAAATTTTAAATAGGAATATTATGTTTGATTGTAGTTAATATTGTTATTATTTAATTTTGCAGGCCTACAATGTTCAGTGCAACACATTTACTTCAGACATTCCTGCATATAGTCCAAATATCTGTCAGTTATTTATTAATGTTAATATTTATGACATACAATATTTGGTTATGTGCAGCAGTTTTATTTGGTGCTACTTTGGGATACTTCTTATTCGGATGGAAAAAATCAGTTGTTGTTGATGTTACAGAGCATTGTCACTGAAATTTAATTTTACAAAAATACATGTTTTTAATTACTAAAAAAAAAAATGTATACAATATTATATGCTTTTATCAGTTATTTTTATTCACTGGTTAACTAAGCATTAAATTAAGTATCCTGATTTTCAGGTCTATTTTGTGAATTATACTTAATTATTTAATGATTTTAAGTATTCAATCTTATAATTATATATATATATATATACATATATATAAATTGAAAATTCCAATTGAAATATTTGAATTAATAATAAAACAAATGTATACAATTATGTTAATGAGTTATTAAATAAATTTTTGTATTTTATGATTTTGATGTTCACTTAAAAGATAACTGTATCTCTTAGGTTTCAATGTAATTTTGATGACTACAACAAAAAATGGCCCATTATATTATTATTCATTTAAATGTATTAGCTGATGTTACATTATAGGTAACATAATGTTCAATTGTATATTATAAAGATTATCAGTTCTGTAGGCGTCAAGTCAATGTTAAGGTCTATATTTTTACAATATAGGATAATAATTTAATTTTTTTTTCAATTGAGATTTTTTTTTATCTAAATTATTAGTACTAATTAGGTACAATGCAAATTATAAATAAAATTGTAAGTACCTATAATATTATACTGTGTATTTCTGTATCGCGATGTGGTATGTATAATACAGTTTAATTATATCAAATACTTAACAATTATTTTATGGACAGTCTAATACAGTGGTTCTCAATCTTTATTGATTCATGTCGTCCTCATCGACAAGAACCCAACACTGAGTCGCCATATCAATGCATAACTCATTGAAATTATATTTTATTCAAGTAGGGTATCATCGTTGAAAAGTGAGTGATGAGGAGGAAATGTTACGTTGTTCGGACGGTGTTAGTGGTTACATGATAACGACGGCAATAATACGATTTTAAACTAAAAAATTAAAAGTTATCTTATTTTTTTCCTTTTCCCGATGATTAAATGTTACCTCTGCACTGCGCCCATGTCACCCTGTTTGAGAACCATTGGTCCAATAGCTAGTTCAAATTGAAATATAATCGTATTTTATTGTGAGTGGAAACAATGCGATTAATTCTTATTCTTATCTTTCAAAGTTTGAACATGAGTGTTATGTCTGAAGTCCTTTAAAGTAAGTATACCTAATATATATATATATGCTTAAATTTACTATCTACGTATTATAAAGTACCTATATTAGAGGTTCCCAAAGTATGGGTCACGATAATATTTTTAGTATAGGTCGCGTTATATTTTTTAGTTTACAAGCGGCGTGAGGAATGTATTGGTTTTACAATGATGTTTTTTTTTCTATCCCTGAACCACTTTTCTACCAGAAATCTAGCTCCGATTTACAAACACTTTGTAGTAATTTTTTTTTCCTGTGAACAAATTCTCTACCAGCAAATTGGATTTATACTTCCAAATGAGGGTATGCGACTGAACAAACTTCATAAATTATCCAGAAATGAAAAATAAACCAAAAAAAAAAGCTATTGATATTATTGTGGGTCACCAAAATTTAAATTATTTAAAAAATGGGTCGTACCATAAAAAGTTTGGGAACCTCTGACCTATATCATGTGTTCCATTTTAACGGTAGGTACCTACGCAATATATTTCAGCTAAATGACTGAAGTATTTTATTCTGGATTTTTTCATTGGATGACTAAGTAAATGATATTGAAATATGATGGGTTGATAAAAAATTTGGATTATATTTTGTTCTATCAAATTTGACTTCTTCATATTTTTTAAACATTTAAACAATTTGGCATATAAAATCATATATTTCAACTGCTTTGATGAAATTTTATTGAAATTACGTACTGTTTAGTCAAAAACATTAAATTAGAAATAGTTTTATGAATCTACAAACAATTATGTAATGGAACATTTTATTGTTGCAATAAATGAAAATGCCATAAAGGTTCTTATGTGATATTTTTTTTTTTATACTGATGAATATTTCCGGACAAAAATTGATAAATTCGATAATAATATGGCTCCTTCATACGATGAGTGACCGACTGTTGTAAATGAGAAGTCGGGAAGGTAGGAAACAAATGGTAATTTAATGTATATCTGGACACAATTGTTAACTATTGCTTACAAAAACGATTCTAAGCGTAGTTCGGTTATGCATGTTTTTAAAGGCCGTAATATTTACGATTTTCGCCAAAGTTTGATATTAGTCTTATTAAAAAAAAAAAATTCTATATACAATAAATTTCAAACTAGAACTTCCTGTTATGTCTTCAAGAATTTCGGCTTGGTCTAACAATTGTATGCACATAGTACCTACTGAATAAAAATTGCATACAATACATACATACGCCAGCAAAATTAAAACGGTTAAAAGGTTTTGAACATTTTACCACGTCTAGAAAAGGTAAATATAAGTTATCGGTTTGAATTTCAAGTCTCAGCGAATATTTTTAACTGAAAAATAACAAAAAAAAAAAAAAACAAAACTGAAAATAATACATTTTGTAATTTTTCCAGTTTTTTCAACATCGTTTCCTGGTTTTTCCCAATAATTATGAAAACCGCTAGGAAAAACGGAGTCATGACACGAAATTATTAACGAAATATTTTTGATAAAATTTTCTTTCAGAAAAGATGCTACACTTGAAAATCGGAGAAAGACGTCTGGTAGAAAAGTTGTTGACAGAAAGAAAAAAAAAAGAAAAATCATTGTAAAACCAATGCATTCCAAGTTTCTCTCAGTATCTAAAATCCATAAATAGATTATGATTATGGAGAATTATTTTGGACACATTTTAATGTATTGATCTCCGTCGACCGTGAAGTATCATTTTTTTTGTGCGGCGACACGGCGCACCGCGTTTGAATCGTTTTTTTGGAATAGTGTTCCGCCACCACCTGCAATAGGCGCAACTAGAGGGGGGGGGTCTTTAGCACCACCGAAAATCAACAAAATATCAACGAAAATAAACTCAATTCTTTCCGAGATACTGCAATCGGTGGTATACAAGCACCTTCGAGAGACCGAATACGCAATACAGGTGCATTATATAATATGACATCCAATATGGCAGTATCCATACCACCCGTGGACCTAATGAACTACAACAGGTGCACGGTTCGCACTACATAAATAGCTAAACCACTACAAAACAATATCAACACGTTAGCGTTGAGACATGGACTGAGATGACCGTGATGAATGTGAAAACGAGCGGCGCAAGCGACAATGTAACATTGTGACCCCACCGACCCGGAAAAACACGAACGCACAACGAAACGTAGCGCACCCTTTGGTACGGAACTCCGGAAGGATTCTTTCCCGTAAGGTTTGATTAGCCCCAGCGCGGTTTAAGCGGTGTGTTTTGGAACTATAGACACTTCATTGGACCGTTAGTAAAGTGTCTGGTTGGAAAAAAATAAAAAAAAAAAACACTGAAATGGGCGCAAAAGGGAAAAATGACTCGGCCGCGTTCCAAGTTGATTTTTGCATAGATTTATATTATAAATAGATACCACGTCTGCCGTGTGTCAATATTGTCATTCGTTACCATTTCCGTATAATAATATCATAGTCCGTGATAATAAGTATGGTCACACTGTTTGATAATGGTAATAAATAATAATCTTATCTTTCTTTACGTATATATTAGTAGTAAAATGGGCCAAAAAAAAAAAAAAAATGTTTCAAATAAATTGTATTATTTTTTGTTACGTAGTTGTACTAGTTGTAGAAATGTAGATATATTAAATTTTGCCTCTAGTGATTAGTTTATGATTTATTATTATCTTCAACATTGTGTTGTTTACTTATAATCTTTAATTGTTACAAAATTTAATTAAAGTGTGCTGTAACTAAAAATAAAAAAACTCAATTTTATAGTTTTATACTAAATTATAATTATATTCTAGTATGGTTTTAGAATTTTTAATTAATTTCAGTTGACATATATTAAACTATCATCATGATAAAGACGTTAGGTTTGCTTTCTCTAGTGGCATTTGCCACTGCTGGTGATCAACCTTTTTCGGGTCCGTTCATGAGCAAAGAAGAAAAACAAGGTCTAATGGAAAAAGCCAAAGAAATGTTCTATCACGCATATAACAGTTACATGGATAATGCATACCCTGCTGATGAACTCATGCCTTTAAGTTGTAAAGGACGATGGCGAACGAAAGAAAATAACCGAGGAGACATGGACGATGTGCTGGGCAACTATTCTCTGACCTTAATTGATTCTATGGATACACTTGTTGTCCTTGGTGATTTACCAGAGTTTGACAAGGCTGCTTCAAGAGTTGTAAATAATGTGTCTTTTGATAGAGATGTGGTTGTATCAGTATTTGAAATCAACATTCGAGTTTTGGGGTGGGTAGTGTTAAAGTTTTTTAAATTTCTATACTTATCGCTTTATATTTTCTCATAATTGGGTTTTTTAATTTTGTTAATCATATGAATTTTAATTTTTAACTATTTTAACTAATTAAGTAGTGAATAATCAATAAAAATATTCAATAGGTACAATAATACATTGAACCTTAATTATTTTCTATTGGTACTTGTTTAACTAAATATGTGTTATACATATATTAGTATTATACTTAATTATTGTTTATTTATTTTTGTATTTTACTTCAGAGGTTTGTTGTCTGGTCACATTTTTGCAAATCATTTTAAAGAGAATTCTAATCATTTACAATGGTATAATGGAGAACTTTTAGCTATGGCTAAAGACTTAGGGTATAGATTAATGCCAGCTTTTAATACAACAACAGGAATACCATACTCCAGAGTAAGTATTGAAATAATTGATTTTATTTAATTATTATTCATTATCATTTATTTATTCACAGGTTAATTTAAAATATGGTATTAAGAAAGACCAATTACATTACTTTCAAGAAACTTGTACAGCGTGTGCAGGAAGTATGATTTTAGAATTGGCTGCTCTATCACGCTTGTCTGGAATACCTATTTTCGAGGTAAAATAAGCTAATATTTTATTGTTTAGTAATATGTGCTTCCCTATCTTTTTGACTTATTATGCCCTTTCAGATCCAAAGTTTCCTCAGAGTGTTTTTATAATAATGAAAAATGACTGAGTCGTGTAATATTAATAATAAAAGTAATGTACTTATTGCCAGTCAATTTTTTTAAATTTAAAAACAGAATCTAGACATTTTTAGAATTAAGTATCATAATGCTAAAAATATTGATAATTTTTACTAATCCAAAAATTATTTTCTAATCAAAAAACCAAAAATGGACTTAATCTCTTGCAATCATTTAAGCGTTGCTTTTTCCTCTGTCATTTGGGTTTCAAATTATTTTTAGACCAGACAATTCCACACGGTGAAGCAGTAAACATTTTGGGAACCGCTGGCTTGGGTATTGAAAATTTGTGTAATAATTCATGAAAATGTGTTTCCCTCAGGAAAAGGCACATCGTTCAATGGATAGTTTATGGAGTTTAAGACATCGATCTTCCAATCTCATGGGAACAGTTTTAAATGTTGATTCAGGTGATTGGATTCGAAGGGATTCGGGAGTTGGTGCTGGTATTGATTCATACTATGAATATTGTTTAAAAGCTTACGTATTACTTGGAGAAAGTCGTTATTTATCAAGATTTAATAAGGTTATTTAATCAAATTTTTTAATATTTTATTGAAATTATTAATTAACAATATGATTCCATTATGTAGCATTATGCTGCTATCATGAAGTATATAAGTCAAGGTCCTATGTTATTGGATGTACATATGCACCGGCCTCAAATAAACTCAAAAAATTTTATGGACGCATTATTAGCATTTTGGCCTGGTTTACAAGTACTCAGTGGAGATTTAAAACCAGCAATAGAGACACATGAAATGCTATATCAAGTGGTGCAAAAACATAACTTTATACCAGAAGCTTTTACAACTGATTTCCAGGTATATTTATCTTCAATAATTTAATAACATAATAGCCAAATTAATTATTTGACTATTCATTCTTCCTCTCCATAGTTATAAGGCCTCTCATGGCCATTCCAATTTGCATCCGATCCTCCATCCTTCTCTATTCATTGATTTTTTTTCCAATTTGAGTCTCCATATTATGATTCCTTTTTTAATTATATTTTTCCATTTTGTTTTAGATCTTCCAAGTATTATTTTTTGCATGGATTTTGTTCCATTACTACTTTTATTATTTTGCTCTGGCTTCCCCAAGCATGCCCAGCCCACTGAAGTCTTTGCTTTCCTATTGTATAATTTATATTTGTACTCTTGTATAAATACTCTAGTTCTGCATTTTGCTGTCTCCATACCTCAATAGTGTAATTCTTAATTGGCTAAGAAGATTTTCCTTTACAATATTTTTTCAGATTTTTCTCTTCTTATTTTCTCAATGTTATGTTTCCGTACCGTATAAGATTTTCAGACGAATCTCATATCTTTAGACTTTATTAATAAAGTACAAATCTAACTTTTTGATATTGGTTTGTATTTAGGTGCATTGGGAACAACATCCTTTGAGACCTGAATTTTTGGAATCTACATATTTTTTGTATAAAGCAACTGGTGATCCTCATTATTTAAATGTTGGTCGTGAAGTTTTAAATTCTTTGCAAAAATATGCTAGGGTAGATTGTGGATTTGCAGCTGTTAAAGATGTCCGCACTACTGCAAATGAAGACATGTAATAGTAATTTATTTCTAAGCTAAGTATCTGAGAAAATTGATACCATTTTAGGTAAAAAAATACCTAAATCCTAATGAGATGGTTTCTTTTTCTTGACTAATGTTTTCTGAAATTTTATAATTGTTTATTATTTTTTTCAGGATGGATTCATTTGTGTTAGCTGAAACATTTAAATATTTGTATTTGTTATTTGCTGAATCTGATGATCTCATAATTAATATTGATGAATATTTATTCACTACTGAAGGCCATTTATTACCTTTATATTTATCTGTCCAACCACAAAATTATACAGATGCTGAAAAGGTTAAAATTGTAATGTATTTTAAAAATATAATAATTTATATATTTGTTTGTTTTGATAGATTTTAAATGAAGAGACTGACTTACCAAAGAGGTCATGTCCAAGTTTTGACAATTTACTTACAGAATCTATAAGAAAACCATTAAAAAACATGGTTGATGGACTATGTCCTAATCGTAAATCAAGAGTAGAAGCTAGAGAGTTTGCGAAAGTTTTTCAAGTAATTTATTAATCATTCAGTTATGTATTCATATAAATTTTATTTTTAAATAATTGTAGTTTGGCAATGAAAATCATATGCAAAGGATAAAAGCTATGGGAATTTTGGTTACTAAACTTCCAAATGGTCTTCCGCTTCTGTTCATGAATTCTTCTCATGTAAACAAATATTGTTATTTTATGTAAATAGTTATAATGATTATTATACCTTTAAAATTGTGTATTATAGGGAAGTGGTCCAGATGATCAAATAGATGGAAATCAATTTTTAACAGAATTAAATATTATTATGAAAGATGTTACCCAAAAAGAAAAAATTAATTCTGCTAAGTCAGTTTCATTTGAAAACCAAGATGGACAAACAATTTCTTTATATGCTGGTGCTGCCAATTTTGGCCTTCCTTTAAACCTTGGTCTAAAGGTAAGTAACTATTAAATATTATAATATACATATGATTAATTTTTTTTATTTTAAACTAGGTATCAATTATTTACAAAATTATTAAGTTTATTTTATTTAGTTTTTTTAGATATTTTATAATCAAGGACTCTATTTAAATTTTTCACAAACTAGCAAACTAAACAATTTTCTCTTTTGTTTAAGTTAATCATCTAATAAAGTAATAACTTGCAATATATATTAGATTTAAAAATAATATTTCTGAAAATGTTATTTAATATGCATAAAACCAAATATTGTTTTAATAATTTGTAAGTATAGTAATTAGCCTGGTGAAATGAAACAGATATGTAGTATATACTACATTTCCTTAAAAGGGCAATACACTGACATCTACTGTCTTCGTCTTATAAATGTGACAGCAAATTTGTGTTCAGTTAGACATATTTTGTGCATTAGTTTTAATATTAAAGCAAATTGACCAATTACAAAAATTAAAGGTAAGAAGATTTTATATGCCCCAGCGTTGATGTTTTTTTCACTATTTTAATTTTTAAGCAACATATAATCATTTTTAAATCGTGATATTTAACATACTCATTTCTCATTTAAAAGTACAAATATTGAGAAAACATCTAGGGCAACAACTAGGGCATATAAAATCTTACCTTTAATTTTGGTAATAGGTCAATTTGCTTTAATATTAAAACTTACAGCACAAAATATGTCCTACTGAAAACAAATTTGCTATGTCTCGTGTTTGTAAGACGGTAACATTAGATGTTGGTGTGGCATCCTCTTAATATCTTATTTTAGCTATTGATTTTCTAATGGATTATTCTTTATAATAATAATAATAAATAGGTTAACAATGATGGTTATTACTATTATTTTTTTAAATAAATTAAAAAATATGTGTTTCTATCTGAAAACACCAATTGATATGTGAAAATACCAATTTTAAATTATTTAATAACAACTACAAAAACAAAATAAAGTAGACTCAATATCTTTAATAATAATATTAAAAATTATGATTTTTTGTTATTATGTTTAGGTTATGACTCGTATTGTTTTTGCAAATCCTGTTAAAGGTTGTGAAACATTATCAAATCCAAGTGTTGTTAAAGGAAAGATTGTTTTAGTTGAACGCGGTGACTGCATGTTTATTGAAAAGGTAAATTTTAGAAATTGTGGTATGGAATTATTTAAAGTAAAATATTAATTTAAATCATTTTTAATAATTAATGGATCATTATTAGAGCATTTAATTCAAAAATTGTTGAAGAAAAAATACATAATAACAAACTTATATAAAAATATAACTAATCAATTTCTTATTCCAATTATAATTTAAGATAAATTATTATTAATAAATATATAAGTATTAATCAAAAATAAAATCACTTAAGTATTTAATTTATTTTTGAACAAACTTTTGTGTTTTTAATACTATAGTAATATACCTATACAAATATTTAATAATCAACATTTTTGGAATCTTTTAGGCTGATATTTTTTTACATTGTTAATAAACTAAATTTTATTTTAACTATATTTTTATATTTAATATCGCTACAATATTGATTTATTTTTCACCTGATAAACTATTATTTAAAGTTTTTTCCTTGTTATTTCAGGCTCGTAAATTACAAGAGGCCGGTGCTGTAGGAGGTATCGTAATAGATAATGCTACAGATTCATCTGTAATAACATCTCGAGCATTTTCTATGTCAGATGATGGGGTAGATGATGTAAATATACCTTTGGTGTTTTTATTTGCTTCTGAAGCTCGACCATTACTAGATATGCTCACTATTAACCCTGATCTTCTAGTTACAATCAGTGAACTTCCTAAAGGTATTTTTTTCTTTTTACTTTCTTTTTTTTGCTTGTATTAAATAATTAATATTTTAGAAACTGAAACAGAAATAGAATCTGTTGAAGATGCTGGAAATATGATCAATAACTCAATAGATAAACTAAAGAAAATTATAGGAGATATAATGATGTCTGGTGATCCCACACAGGTACAACTAAACTTCTTGCTATTAGCATTTCTATTTGAATTTGTATTTTCTGTAACTATATTCCTGTGTAGGTACAGGTTAGGTCGTTGACTTATTTCAAGTGTTTTATACAAATTCCAACTTAAATGTGATATTTTTATAAAAAAAAAAAAAAACCAATTTGTTTAATATTATTTCAATTGTATTTATTTTTACTTATAATACAAGTTTTTAAAAATAATATATATTAGGTTAGGTATTGTTAAAGTAATTTATTTGGGAATATATTGTCATATCATATCAATCATACTACTCTTTATTAATTATTTGAAATACATTTTTATTTATTTTCTGTTTTAATTAATTATTAGGTGCAAATGTTTAATTAAACCAAATAATGTATTTTTGATAATTAAGACTTATTTTTATATTATAACTCTACATCTGAGGCAATAAAAGAAAAAAGTAAACCCCGATAGGGTTTTCCCATGTTATTAATTATTTTTTGTTGGTTGATGATATATTGTTCCTAAATTTTGGATTCCTTACTAAAAGAAATCCTGTTCATTCCCTAATGTACATAGATGTTGATATATCCATTAGCCTGATATAAATTGAATCATGATTACTTTGGTATATTATTAAGTAATAACAAAAGGGACCTAATTAAAAAGTTAGACTGGTTAAACAAATTTCAGAAAACTTAAATTAAACTTAGTATGCTACTAGTTTAATTCCTAAACATTTTAATGGATTAACATCATTCATGCTGATGATGATTAAAATATAAAAACTATTCCCAAAATATTCTGGAATAAAAGCAATAAAAGCAATAACCTTGAGTAATACTAAAATTTGCATAAATATAAACATTTTGAAAACAAGATAAAAATGGCTTAATAAACTTTCCCTTATCGATTTCAAAAAACCAAATTTAAATGATGGAATAATGTTTAAACTCCATTTCTCATCACCATTAGATATAATATTAATCACTCCGTCTAAGTATATAAGAAGACACTTAAGTAACATGGTAAAAAGTTGATAACTATTATTTGTACAGAAAATTTAACAAATCAATGGTTCAATTGGACATTTTTAATTATGTTAATTATATTCATTTTCCAAATAATAAATTCTTTTTTTTTTTTTTGATTTAAAAATTTAATCTAATATACAAAAAGCCGTTTTTACAATATTCTGTTAAGTGTTTGTCAACTCTAACCATCTGTTAATGATAGAATATTGTCGGTCTGCAGACTATATAACCATCGGTTATTACTAATAAACATTTTATGAAAGATTGTAAGAATGGTCCTAAGTGATTCTGTGTGTGTCAGTTGTGAATTAATTTTATTTATTTAACAAACTTGATTTGTATAGATCTTTAAGTAATTTTTTTTTTATTTAAAAAAAATTATAAAAACTAAATTGATAATTTATTTTTGTATGAAAATAATAAATAGATTATTAGAAAAACTGTAGCTTACAATCAATTAAAAATTAAATACTAATATCTCTGTGATAAAAAATTCTAAAAGAAAAATATTTTTGAATTCTTTATGTTGTTAATGTTGTATAATTCAATTATCAATTTAAAATAATGTTATTTATATATTTATTATCTAATTGTTTTTAAAATTTGGGATCAATGCATTTTTGAAAGTACACATTGTAAATGCAAAATTTATACTGCCATAATACATTCTAACGTTTTCCCCTTGCTATATTTTGTTTTGTGTGGTGTAGGATCGCATGTCTGATCTATTAAAATGGAGAGGATATAATTCGATTGACAAGCAAACATTTTTGAAATTACTCATGGAGGCCAAAGAAGGAATTAAAAGCGATGATATCATTAAAGTGGATGAACTGCCGCCATCTAAACAGACAATTTCTGAAAATGATACTCTTAGGAAAGTCGATCCAGATGAAAATTGACCCAAAGTTTAAAAATTGATTTTTAAAGAACTAATGTAAACAAAGTTCTATGGAATTTCAAATTAATGACAACTGTTTATGTTATTTGATTGTAAATTATTTCTTGTTATTTATTCTGTAAACCTGTGATGTATCAACAAATGTATAATGAAAAAAAAAAAAAAAAATAAAGGAAAATACAAATCCTTGAAGTGTTATATATTATTGATTAAGGCAACATAAATACAATTTAATAAAACTTGTAAATATTCATTAACTGTGTTTGATTTAAAATATGTAGGAGTGGTACATTTTTTTTATTTTTTAGATTCGGATCGTAGTGAGGGATCTATTAGTATTTTTTTTTTTGTATAAGCTACTTTTCAAATAGAAAACTTGCTCCATTGAAAAAATTATAAATTAACTTTTTGTTGCAATTTGTATATGAGTATATAGTTTATTTTTTTGGGGGGGGGAGTCATTCATTGATTTTTTTTTAGGGGTTTTCATAATAAATGGGAAAAGCTAAAAATGGTCAAACATATTTAGTTACCTTTTTTTAAGTTTTTACAAATTATGTTTTCTACCAAGAATATTGCTCCAATAAAAAAAATGACGAGATTATTCTTGCTGCATTTTGGATCTACATTATGTGAGTATGCAAGTCATTTTTGTTTATTTTCAATTTTATTTTTTTGATGTACTTCAGTTATATTGTATAAAAAACTTGAAATTTTAACAGAAAACTTGTATTGTCCTTTTTTATATGGTAGTAAAATTTTCATAACAATTTGGAGATTTTCAACCAATTTATTATAATTTATGTATAGGCATTTTGTGTTTGCTAATTTTTTTATGTAATTTTTATTTGGTAGATACCATGTGGATATAATTGTTTTACCAAACATTGAAATGCATGAATATTTATTAAGAGATTTATTATAAGTTGTACTTGGTGATAAAACAAAAAAATGAAAGTACCTAGTGTTGTAAATTTATAATGAATAATTTTTAGATTTAAAGCAGAATGAGGTATTGGTTTTACAATAGTTTATTTTTTTTCTGCAAACAACTTTATACTAAGAATTTTTGTCAGTTTTTCAAGTGTATATATTAAATTTTCTGAAAAGAATTTTTGTCTGAGTGATACTTTGGGGAGGTTATTTTTTGATTTTCCAAATGGTTTTCACAATAAAATTTAACTGGAAGTTCATTATGAGTCGTACTTTACAGTAAAAAAAAATTAATAATAATTGAGTGTAATGTTCTATTTTTTTATAAGAATTTTAACATTAAATTTTGATGAAAATCGTTTAATATTACTGCCTTTCAAAAATATATAACTGAACTCCGCTCAGAGTCGTTTTTCGTAAGCAAAGATTAATTGTCGCGTACAGATATACATTAAATTATCCTCTATAGCCTACCTTCCCAACTTCTCACTTATAACAGTGGCCTATCCATTGTGCGTACTATGTCTGTATATATTTTTTTTATAATGGTTTTAAATTCAAATTTTTATGAAACACGTAAATGCCTTTTAACTACATTAGGAATATTTTTTCGTTAGCAATGATTTATCGTATAGATTTTAATTAAATAACTTTATGTATTCTACTATTCTACTTTCTCCACTTTCTATCACGGTCAGCGATTAAAGATGGGCCAAAGATTACCAAATGGGCTATGCAATTGTGACTACAGTCTCGATTGAAAATATCTTCAATCGTGCTGCATATTTACAATAGCGCACCTATCAAGAGTATCAGTTTTTTTTTTTATTATTGTTTGGAGGGATCATAATATTTTTCTGCCTTTGCAACAAATCTTATTCCAATCAAAATACTGTAATCAATATTTTATATCATGTATGACGTCTTAATTCATTTTTACATTTTTTGATGATCAGATCAGACAATTAGATTTATATGTTTCCAACGATTTCGATTTTGAGTTGGCGAATTTATTTTATAATAGAGAATATAGTAACATAAGTAATTAATTTAAAATAATAGTTATTATATACCTATTATAAAAACAATATTTGGCGGTAGTTTGATAACTAATTGCTACCATGTTTGGCTTACGAATTAAAATATATTAATACTGCGGTCACACTGTAATACTGTATTAAGTATACGTTGATAGCTGTGATAACCTCAATTTGACAGTTTATACTATTCGGCGTTAGGAAAACAATTGAAAAAAATTTAATTTTTAATAAGTTAATTTGTGGTTTTGCGGTGTTTATCCAAGTTTACTTGTTAATCAATATTTATGTAAGTATTATTTTTATTATTATTATATTTTAGGTACGTTCTTACAATATGCGGTAAAAGCTATCGGACATTGCAAGAACAGGCCTTAATAATTATATATGGGCAATAAAATATTCCTACAAACAAATATTTAAAAATGATAATACCAGAAAGTGCCCCATAGTTTGGTGAATGCACATATCTCAGATTGTGATTTAATATATGGGGCGGTGTTATTTTTACATAAACATAGAGTACTAAGATGGTGGGATAAAGTAGAAATTGTCATTAATATATCATAAGTAAACAATTTTTATCGTACATGTGAAATTGTAAACAATAAAGTTATTAAGAAAATAAACTGGTTACTGGTTAGGTATATTATGGGGGATTGAATTTGTTTACTGTAGAATAACACTGCTAGTGATTTGGTATGGTATTATTGTTTTAAAGTATTTGATACAAGTAATTTACAAATTCAATTTTTTTTTTTTTTTATTTATTAAATTTATATTAGAAGTGAAATGGAGACCTTAATAGAACAACAACGTCGCTACCACGAAGAACGGGAACGTTTAGTTGATTCTATGGTCAAAGAGATGTTGTGGAAGAAACCTACAACCAGAGATGTGATTAATTCTGAACATCGCCTTAAGTTGTTGCTTGATCAGTATATGGAAGGAACTAATAAACTAAAAGAGTTTTATGAAGATAAAGATGGCCTACGTAAAGAGGAAATATCATCGATATCTGGGCCAAATGAGTTTGCTGAATTTTATTTTCGTTTAAAAAACATTAAAGATTTTCATAAGAAACATCCCAATGAAATATCCGTACCATTATCCGTTGAATTTGAAGATTTAAATAATCTTCGTGAAAATCCTTCAGAAGAAATGAACAATATGGTAGATTTTACTGACGAAGAAGGTTATGGAAGGTATTTAGATTTACACGAGTGCTATGAAAGGTATATAAATTTAAAAGGAGTTGAAAAAGTTGATTATATTACATATTTATCCATATTTGATAATTTGTTTGACATACCTAAAGACCGTAAAAATTCCGAGTACAGGAAATATATTGAAACATTGTTGGAATACTTGCATGGTTACTATTTACGAATAAAGCCTTTACATGATATAGATAGTGAATTGGATACTGTTCGAAATGAATTTATTAATCAATGGGATGAAGGCACTTTTCCAGGCTGGCCAAAGGATACTAGTAGTGCTTTAGCTAATGTTGGAGCACACTTGGATTTATATGCTTTTTCATCTTGGGAAGAATTAGCCTCTCTCGGTCTTGATCGTTTGAAGTCAGCTTTAATGGCTTTGGGATTGAAATGTGGCGGGACACTTGAAGAAAGAGCCCAACGGTTATTTTCAACCAAAGGAAAAACTTCATTTGATTCTTCATTATTAGCTAAAGGTAAACCTGGAAAAGTTATCCGTACCAAGGAACAAGATAGACAAAAAGAGTTAGCAATAATTGAGTCCCAAGTTTACAAGTTTTGTGAACTTCTTTCGGAACAGAGAGCAGCAACAAAAGAGAATGTTCAAAGGAGACAAGCTCGTACGGAAGGAGAGCGTGATGACTCAGAAAATGAGGCTAGTGCATCAGAATCAGAAGAAGAACAAGGCGAGGATATACCTTATAATCCAAAAAATTTACCTCTTGGTTGGGATGGAAAGCCAATTCCATATTGGTTATATAAGTTACACGGATTAAATATTAGTTATAATTGTGAGATCTGTGGTAATTTTACATATAAAGGTCCTAAAGCTTTTCAACGACATTTTGCTGAATGGAGACATGCACATGGTATGCGATGTTTAGGTATACCAAATACTGCACATTTTGCCAATGTCACACAAATTGAAGATGCTCTTGCACTATGGGAAAAGTTAAAAACCATGAAACATGATGAACGGTGGCAACCAGAGAATGAAGAAGAATTTGAAGATTCTCAAGGCAATGTTGTGACAAAAAAAACTTATGAAGATCTCAAGAGACAAGGGTTATTGTAAATAATTTATATAATTTATTGTACTACTACTGCTATATAATAAATCTAAAATATAACTAAATTTGAATGTATCCATTACTATTTGTAATATTAATTATGTTTAAAAAAATATATGAATTTGAATAAATAATTTTGTAGGTAATGATAAATAAGTTTTGTTCTATAGTAGATGGTAACTTAATATTATACTTTCTGATATTTTCATTCAAATATTATCTTAAAATAAACATCATATTTGAATACAATATTGAATTATACATTGCAATTTGTTATATACTAATTATTGTGGTATAGATTTGATTAGTCAATTCTATTTGACAATAGAACATTGTATTACATCGAAAGGCTCAATAACATTACTAAAAAATTAAATACATTCTATTATAGTATTAGGAATAATTTTATTTCACAACTACAAAACTAACCAAAAGTAATAATATAATGTGTAAGTTGAAATTTTAGAAAAATAATCTAATATTAATATTTTAACATATTAAATAATTATAAAACAAGCACAACTGATGAGTTAAGAATAAAAAACAACTTCATTTTGTTAGTTATGTTGCATAAACTTAAAATTCACATGTAGATATCTTGAAACTATGATTTAATATAAGTGTGTAAATCACCTACTTGTTTTATTGCTTTTAATTATCATAAATTGTTTTGCAGTATCAATGTTAATTGGATAGAATTATTTTTATCTAATTTGTGATAAAATTAAGTGTATTTAGACTTTAGATAACAATTTTACTAGTTTTTTAATTATTTATTCCTACGTATGAATGTTATGTTTTACATTATTACCGATTTATTTAATTTCAGTAAAAATGGAATCAATTTTTGTTTATGGAACATTAAAAAAAAATCAACCTAATTATTATCATCTTTGCGATACTAAAAATGGCTGTGCAGTATTTAGATCAGTCGCCAGCACAACTAAAAAATATCCTCTAGTTATTTCCACTAAATATAATATACCATTTTTGTTACAAAAAGAAGGTATTGGATATGTAAGTGAAAATATTTAATGAAATAATATATTTTGATATTTTTTAATAAATGATATTTTAGGAAATAAGTGGTGAAATCTATGATGTTGATGCAAAAATGATGGAGTTTTTGGATGACTTCGAAAATCATCCAGATTTTTATAATCGACAAAAAATTGAGGTCAAATTACCAAATGGTGATATTCGTAGTTGCTGGATTTATTTTTTACCAAATTATCCAGAAAGGCTTTTAGAATTACAATATTTTGACTGTTATGATTCAAATGGTGCACACAAACTTCAATATGTCGCAAGGTATCAGAGAGATTTCGAGGACAAATTATCATTTTCTAAATTTGAATAATTTAAATTACACTTTTAAATACATTGTTTTACAGTGAAAATGTACAATCATTAGAATCAGCATTTCAAGAATAATCAATAAAACAAAACAAAATTAATTTTTTTTATCAGTTCAACATGTATTTCAAAATCAATAGAGTGTAAAAAAATCTAAAAAGTATAGTATTTGCACTACACAAGTGCAATTTTTTGAACAAAAACATATTGCACGTGTTTATTATACAAAATAAATGTGTCTAACATACATTTAGGAAATATAAGTGTGTTTTCAAACAAATCACTTTCTTTCAATTTTAATTGACTAGAAATAATAATTGAAACTCCGATACTTTGTGCTGCCAAAACTTACAATTATTAAAAATAATTTGTATTATTGTAATTGATTTATTGTCGCTAAGCTGTTATTGAGGTCCATGACTTTTATTCTAAAACATTGCACGTGTTGCAAAACCACCAATGCTACTTCTTCGCGTCCTAATTCATTTAATCGGTTGATCAGTGTACCTAGAGAATTAATTTATGTTTTGAAATGAAATATTTTGTCTAGCTAGCAAAAAATGAGTGGTAGTAATTGTGATGATTTTAAGAGTGGGTATTAAAATTTAAAAAATAATGTATAATATTTCTATTTTATCACAAGAAACCTCTAAAAATCAACACTCAATACCCAATCATTTTTGAGCTTAGTCAATATTTTGTATTACAAAAAATTCATTTTCACCTATTGTTGGTGTGGGTTCAATTGTTGCCCAAGTATCTATTAATGCAAGAAAAGGACTGGTTGGTTCATTATCAAACAACTGAACTTTTGAATCTAATCCAATATTAAGAGCAAATAATGCCCAGTCTCTGCCCAACGGATGAACTGGATCAAGAAGTCTACTCAATTCTTGTCGACACATGATACTTAATTCTGTTAAAGGTAAATTTTCTGTACTCGACAACATGTTTTCCACCTTAAATAAATATTATTTATTTATTGTGGTGTGAAAAAATAATCAAGTATTGATAATAGATTAGATTTTCACCTGCTCACATCCAAATGCAACTACGTCTAATATACATTCGTTTTGGCCTGTTAATGGATTAATGACAAAGGATTTAAAATCAGAATTCTTCCTTGTTGAATAAAATATGTCACTGATACTATATCCATGCGGTTGTATGTAATGTTCGGATAAATTTGAGGGACTTAAAAATTCTTTGATTATTTTCATTCCAGGGCATATTTCAGTTAAAACCTAAAATAAAATTCATAAATTGTTTGATTATATTAATTAAGCATTATTCCATTGATAAAAATAAAAATCTTTATTTACTAAATTAATTGAATGTAAAATTTCTTCTAGAAAATAAAAACAGGTATAACTAGATGATTTAGATCCACGTATTTTTATTTCGATGCAACCATCTTGCTCAATAGATACCATGCATTCTATATTACTTATACATAACACAGTACCACCGTACCATTGGTATAAGTAGCTGTCCATGTCTTCATAATAATTGTTTTGTAAGTAACGTAATTCCACCTGAAACCAATATAAAGTGGATTATACTACTTTAAATAGTAACAAACAAAATTAAATGGTTTTTCATTACTTGTATTCTAATAAAAATTGATGTTAAAATTTCAAGAAATTGCCACTGAGGAGTGAGCCGAATACCACCATAACAACTATCCATATTATTACTCCATGGTTTCCAAAATGCTTCATCTTTTTCTCTTATAATATATGCTGGAAATTCGTACTCAATATCCCCATCATTGTCATACTAAAATAATAAAGAAATAATTATTTATAATGTATATTTTAGTGATAATAGTTATAAGGAAATTATATCCACATAGACTTGTTTAACTTTCTAATAGCTGTAACTATTTTGTTTGATATAAAAAAAAATATTGCACAGTTTGGAAAATATTATTCTCTATAAACGTGGCTCGGGAAGGTTTAAACTATTAATGTTTTTAAATACGACCAATTAAATTTGGTGCAGAGCTATTTCACTGTATTGCATATAAGATAAAGAAAGACAATAAATTAGGGTATCGCATCCTCTTAGCAAAATAATAGTTATTCATATTTTTTAATTTAAAATAGTAATAAACAATTTGAGATTACACAAATGATGTTATATTTTAATTAAAAAATAATATACTTGGACACATATTTTCATTGTTTCCAATAGTTGCAGTACAGACATGGCATCATAATGAGGAAACATTATTTGGAAATCGTTTGCTTGATAAGAGCCGCACATGCGAGTCTGGCTGATCAAGAAGTCTACAGAAAATAGTGTGCCGATTATATTAGATCCAAACCAATTTGGAGATATAACAATCAAATCTGGTTGTAAGCCAGATTTTAAATATAATATCTAAAAGGAAAATAATCAATAATCATATTATTTTGAAAAATATATGCTTTACTATGCTAACTAACTTCTCCAAGATTTTGTAGCTGGATCAGTAATATATTTAAATGCTGATTAGTAGCCAATGGGTTTATTTCAAGATGAATAGTGTCACAGAATGTCTTCCAAGACAGTACTGGAAATGGATTTGCAATTTTTCTTAATTTTGGTAAAAAATTCTGTACAGCTTCACAAAAACCACTCATTCTGGGAATGTTCTGAAACCAGTTCTACTATAAGTGAATAGTTTTGTAATAAACAAAAATACAAATTAAATATGTAAAAAATAATGTTTGAAATTCAAATGGCATATTGAATTACTTCATAAAAATGTGTGTTAAATCATAGTATCACACATTTTAAATAAGTGCTATTTGAATTTAATGCACACTATTTATAATGTATACATAAAAAAAAAAAAAAACTGAGCGTTATTGAATATAATTAGAACCTCAATTCTTGTAACTGAAGACTTAGTGTTATAATAGTTTTCCCTAGGTAGATCATCGAGTAATTTATAACCGCTTCGAACGAAGAAGGACAGCTTATTTAATTTGCTCATATTGTTTGTACCACAAATGATGTCTCCTCGGTAGTATCCCTGACAGAAAAGTTTAATTCAACTATTGAGTTTTAATAATTATAGAGTGCAAAAGTTATATAAGTAATTATATATATATATGAATATATAATAATATTTAAAAAATAATAAATAGAATTACTTACAAAATGAAGCCGTTTTTTACATAAACTAATTGCTTCTTTTAAGTTTTTTACACTTAATGAGTCCACTGCCATAACATTGAATAGTACCAACTGATCATGTATTTGAAATACATGTCCATATTCGCTTTTCATAGTTTTAATTAATTGATCAGATTGACGAAATGTTCTTTGACCATTATGCGTAGCAACTATTAATGCAGGTACTAAATGATTTGAAATACCATTCTTACCTAAAAGATTATTTAATGATTTAAATATAACAAAAATATTGAAATATTATACTACAAACTTATTGGTTCTGTTATTTGAAGTCTTGCTTGAACAAAGCTAAGCCAAAAGCGCACAGTTTTCAAAATTTCTATTGCAGATTGTTGTTCATTATAAACAATTACAATCACTTTATTTGGTGTATTTTGAATTACAAAATGATAAGAGTTATAGTAAGTATCTTCTCCAGAGAAATCCCAAAATGTGCATTCATTGACACCCGATAATTTTTCCTATAGATTGTATTTTTTAAATAAATGTTATCCAATACTTCATTCTATTTTATACCTTTTGTACTGAAATACCCCGGGTACCATCATGTTTATAATAATTGGAAGTATTTGTAGTATTGTATTCAGTGAGATTCATATCATTTCCATTAATGCACTGCCCTTGTGATGTCATAGTTCCTGATTAAAAATAAACAAGTGGTTAGTGCTAAAAATTAAAATAAATTTGATGTATGTTTACTGTTGTTATTGATTGTTCTTAGCGTATTACGCGATTTGTCAAGCAGTATTGAAAACAGACCCAGTTTCATTAAGCGTATAATTGATGATTTACCAGCATTGGAATGTCCAAAAAATAATAAATTAGTGTTTTGTATGAATTCATTGCTAGGGATAAGTTGTTGGATGTAATTTTCTCTAGCACTATTCTATTTTAAAAAAAAAAATAAAGTACATATATATACCAACAACAATAATAATGTGTCCGAATAAGTAAGCTTACAGTATTCAATTTAGTAAATATTGTCAATATTTCTTTTTGATTATTTTTTATAGCAGTAATTTCAGGTTTAATATTGTCTGCACTACGTTGTTGAGGATCACTTCCCGCAATACACAAACATCTAATTTGTAGCATTTAATTAAATTGAAGAGCATTAATAATATAAACAAATGATATTCAACCAAAAGGTATACCTAACGATTTCAACGTGTCCATGTCTAGTAGCTATATGCAGTGGATATAGTCCTCTATTATTTGGATATTCAAAATTATACCCTAAATGTATTATTGTTTCAATAACATTTAATAAACCTTCTTGCGCCGCAACATGAATAGGAGCGTTACCTTCCTAATAATAAATATATATATATATATATATATATCTAATATATATGAATATACATGTTTGAATTTCAAAAAAATAAAATTTACATTGTTAAAAATGTTTAAATTTCCTGGCGAATTACGTAGTAAATATACCGCGACATTTTCATGTTTTTCTGTTATGGCTACCAATAACGGCGTATCTAGATTTTCATTCACCATATCTGTTGTGTTATTATGTTCCACCAATTTCATTACACATTCTAAATAGCCATAGCGACATGCTATGTGCATTGGAGTGTCTCCATTCTATAAATATAATATGTATATATATATATATATATATATAACCATCAGAATTTACAAAAATATTGATAGACATTTACATGATTCTGATCATAAGCGATTCTTGGTTGTCGTAACAATAGACTTTCGATTACAGATAAATTTCCATGTCGAGCGGCCAAATGTAGTGGAGTATTCCCACTTAAATCCTTTGCACATACATTTGTGCCTTTGTCCAACAAAGCATCTACGATATGTTGAAGTCCACGGGCAGATGCCAAATGTAGGGCAGTTTGTCCTTGCTAAAAAAAATGTATAATTACAATGCAAAAAACAAACATTAAAGAAAATAATGTTTACGTTGTTTTCAGCAAAAATGTCTAAGTCGTCTTTATCGATCAAAGACTCAGTTAATTTTTCATCAACGTCTTCCAGCAATGTTAGTAAAGACATGATTTTACGATTTGTATGAAAATATTACAACAGTATATCCATTCAAATAAAATATACTAGACGATCAGTATTTTTCTGTATGAATACATTCATGACAAAATAGAAGAATTGCCATGGACGCATTAGTATTCTACAAATGATTACGATTTATGATAAAGGCTTATATTGATTATTAATATAAAATTCAAATTACGATTTCTATGATAAGGGAAGTAAACAAAATGAAATAGATATATTAAAATTAAATAAGGCAAAACGGCCAAGGTAGCAGCTGAATTTATTATAAATTACCTTGATAAGGACAACTTTATTATCATTATATTGTTACCACAGAATTTGTTGGTGTTGTTACCATTACATTTTGATAAAGCGTTTTCAAATGATTTCATATTTTCAGAACTCAGAACTTTTTTTGTGTTCCGCTTTTTTGAGCACAGACATTATTAATGCAATTTTAAAAACTCGGGTCTCGAATTACCTAGTTTTATTAAAAATAAATTCTTTAATATTCATTACACCCACGCGTGAATGTCTAGTATAATAATTGAGGACGGGTGTATTTATTTTTAAATCCTTATAGTATAACATTTATGTAAATAAATGTGTGCAAGTAAAAATCATTTTGGAAGTCTCCATGATAGATTTCCTGTGAGTTATGTTTCGTTTAGTTTAGGGGAGCGTCTATCAATTTTCGATTGATAATGGTTCCCCTTCAACGTTTTTCCCACTTTAACCACAGGTTTCGGTCAATGACATAAAACAAAATTAATTAAATGTTTTTATAATATATCTATGGTTCCACTTGATTGTATTATATCCATGTATAGATAAAAAATACCTACTCATATAAATTCTTCTTCTTCTTCTGATACCCTTTACTCGGCTCACTTCTCATCTGTTGACCACCTCTTCCTCAATCATCTCTTTCGTATATTTGTAGTTGGTGGTTACTACGACTTGCCCTACATTCCCCGGTCAAATGACCACCATTGGCTATGTTACACTTCATCTTCCACAGCCGAAACCTCAGTGTGTCGTGAATATTTTTGTCAATTAAATTACACCCATAACTCCCACTGTTCTCTCCTTGATTCACAAACTCTATGTTTCTGTGTCCCCGGCCTACGAATCTGTTGTACGGTCAGGTGCCTACCACGCGTCCACGCCCCCTCTCAATCGCAATTGATCATTTTAGCTCTCCCCTATTCAAGTCGTCCCTCCACGCACATGTCTTATTATGGATTTTTCTCAGGCTGACTACAATTGCGTCATTGATTTCTTTAAGTACCCCATTTAATTGGGAACTTACTTTCTCTTCCTATGATGTTGACGAGGCCATGACGGTGCATAGGTACTGTAGCTATTCATTCTATCATCTGTACTTCGGGTTACTCATGGTTATTTTGTTCCAGCCTGGTTCACTCCAGAGTTCAAGAAACTCGTATTTGCTAAAAGCCAGTCTCGCTCACACATATGAATTCTAGCTCTATTTGATTATAGAACTTTTTCCCTTCTTCACGTTAAATGCAAACTTTTGTCGAAAAAGTGTCACCGTGACTCCCACATTGAATCTTGTACTATATTCAAACCGTGTTCTTTTTGGCCCGATGCACGGAAATACCGTTCGTCTCTGCTAATACCCTCACAAATAACAACAGAGTTAGAGTTTAGAAATTAGAATTTATTAAAAAAGTATTTATTTTGTTTAATTCATTTTTATTCTAGTAAAATAAATATGGATTTAATTATTAACATTATGGAAACTTTATTACGGTGCGTCAAAGTTAATAATCGTTTAGTCGTAAAAATAATAAATCCGGGTTACTCGAACGAAATAAATCGTTCTTTTCCATCACACTTAAAAATTGAAAGTGTGGTTTATCAAGTGTATCCAGCGGACATCTCACTAGCTGCTAATTCTAAATATTCGAATAATTCACGGATGTTCGGGTGATGAGGGACCCGCGGGCCCTATTACCCTATTAGCCCATAGGATGCGACGCGTGAATTGATCGATACAATGCCGGAATACTCCAACTATTGTACCACTGATCGTTTCACAGACCGTATGATGAGTTTTTAATAAATTACTCGATCGGGAAATATTATGTTACGCGAATAATAAAAATAAAACTACCTATAATGCTATTTATGTGGCGGGGTAAAACGAAAAAAACTTACTGTTGTCCATGTCCATATCAAAGTCCATAAAAAGTTTATCGTCCTCCTCGTCCGTTGTCCATTGTGTTTTCGATGGGCCGGCGACAGGTGTCGGGGCTACAGTATTCTGCGGGGCGGTTGACGGTCCGGCCTCAGGGGTGAAAGCCGGTGCGGCGACTCTTCCTTCGTGGTGAACAATTTTAACGTGGGTAGCCCACATGTCTTTACGTGAAAACATTTTTGGACATAGTGCGCACTGAAATTTTACACCCTCGTGGGCTTTAGCGTGGCGTGTCATATTACGTCTCACGGAAAAAACTTTAGTACAACCGACGAATGTACATGTGAATGTATTCATTTTTATATCGAAATATTCATGCCATTAGTAATGTAATTGTCAGCCCAGTTTCGGGAGTTATTTTAATAAATTGACAACTCGGATAGTGGTCAGGGTGGAAATGTGGAGACATATTAAATTCAATTATTTTTTAGATTTCTCTTTTTTAAGATAGGATGGTTAAATAAATAATCTAAAATTAAGAGCATTTTATATTTAGCGGTTAAATCTATGTGGGTTCAGCTAGTATTTCTCTTAATTCAATATTATAATTAAAAACATGAATCAAATTTGATGATACCTCCATTTATAATCATTCTTCACAATTCATCTGTTTGTATGGATCATTTTTCCCTAGAAAGAACTCTTTCATCCTCTATACCCTCTAAATACTAGTATTTATAATCAGTAATAATAGTTAAAAACAAATTATAACAGGTAAAAATGTACCAAGGTAATTATTAAATATTTGTATATAAGGTGAACGGTATAGGTTTAAATAAAAACAATGAGAAATTAAAGCTATTATTTTATTGAAAGAAAATAATAATAATTTTTATAATATGATCATTAACAAACATTTTTATCAGGTAACTTAGTATGATTACTTTGCTCGATAAAACATAAAATATCAGTAGTACTGCAGTTTGCAGTTAGTGCTCGACAATAATAAAATTAAAATTATTTACTATGTAAGAGGTATATAAGGACAAAACGACATATTTATATAATATAAACATTTGAATGGAATATTAATAATGAAAATGATATAATAGTCCAGTCTTTAAAATTATATTAAGATGTTTAGTAATTATAGAGAATATTTAAAATACATTGTGCAAAAGCTGAATACCAATAATATAGCATTCAATAAGTAAAACATATATTGGCAAAAAAAAAAAAAAAGAAAAAAAGGAAAAAAAGAAAGTAAATTTAAATGTTAGATAAAAATAAACTTAACAAATGTACCTATGTACTAATAGGAGTTAAACAAATAAAAAAAACAAAACAATATTTTAAACACAATATGAGAGAATGAGATCTATGTACGAATACATAAAGTAATAAATGCGAAAAAATAATTATTACAATTTTATTTGTGAAAAATAATAATAATTGTTGCACTTATTAAATTATTTATACTTGTCTTTAAAGTAGTTTTTATTTTTTTTATTTATTAAATACTTGAATTGAATAGATATACTCAGTGGCATAAATTGAGTATGATTTTGTGGGAAGAGGGTCTTATAAATTACACAGACTTTTGAAAAGAAACACCCTCATTTTTTAATTTATGCATATTAAATATTTAAATTATAACAACATTAATTAAACATATGATAAACTCGCAACATAAATACAGAATAATGTAATATATTGTATATATTAAAAATAAAATCTTTTAAAATATTTATTAAATTGAGCTTATCAAAAATGATTTGGTAGGTATTTTTACAAATATTACTACAAATAATAATAATATAGTATTTGCCAAAACATTTATTTTATTATTATACAATTTTAAATAATAAATTAGCAATTTCAAATTTTCTTTTTGTAGACTAAAGTGTAACCCCAGTTTACACCACTGAATATAATACTTCATAGAAAACATTTGAAACAAAATAAAAAAATCTATTATCATAGGTAGGTTGTTATTAATACTAATTGTTTTAATGAGTAATGTTTATGTACAAAAAAATATTAAGCAGCTGGCAAAGGTAGTAAAATTAAACAATAAAAACACAAGCTTAATTATCTAATATTATCTAATATTTTAAATAGGTATGCAAAACAATGAATGAAACAAAGTATAGGTACATTAGTTTTAAAATTAAAGGAATAATAATATTTGTATTTAAATTTTACTACCTATATTTGATATAATAAATCTAGTATTATATTCGTGTTTTAGTTTAGTTAAACATTTAGTTAATCACATATTAAGTTATCTTAAGAAGCCAATACAAAAATAACAATTTGTGAATAATTTTCATTTAACTAACTTTAAAAAAATGTTTTTGTAGAATTTGTTGTACATATTTTTGTTTTAAACATATAGAGTGACTAATTGTATTTTTTACAATTCTTTTTGTTGTTATTGATAGAAACAACAAGAATCGTTGCACAGCAGCATTTTTATTCTACTTTAGAAATGGTAATTTATAATAAGGCTGTGGTTTCGATGGTACTTTAAATAATGATCACAAATTAGGTAGAGTCATTTTATTATAACTTATCTTTTCGTTGTACACTTTAAAATTCCTAAATACAAATATGTGCTGTTTAACAACATTGATAATTAGCAGTTATTTGTTTTTGTATTGGAAAGAGAAAAAGGTTATAATTTACAAATAATAATTAAGATATGAGACATATTTATTAATGTGTTAATAAGCATTCCAGTTACGAGTTGACCACAGAATTGCAAATGTTGTACCAGTAATATCGGCCATATCATTACAATGAGATAAGTACCTTTTCAATAAACTCCTGTACCCATGACCAATACTTATAATTGCATTACCTTCAGCAGCAGCAGCCATACACGTTACTTCTTGTTCATATGGTCTAAACACAGTGATGGGTCTAGCTGTATCTTGTTCAACAACTACTATACAGCCCCAAGCTGTACCTAAGTAAAGTTCGTCGCCTACTGTACATATACTAGTTATCTGAAATTCCGAAAGTTCTATTATAGTGAGTTCAAATTGAAATTAAACTTCTAAAAATAATACCTGACATTTTCCTGGGCTTAATCGTTCCTCTATACTAATAGATTTAAGACTTTCTGAACATGGTATTAGTTTTGAGCAATCTAACTTGTTCAATATTGTCCTGGTAACTACATCCCATTGATAAACAATACAACCTGCAAAGTAAGAATAATTACAGCGTGAAAAATAAAAAATAAAATTACCATCATTTTTTAATACTTGAATTAAGTATTTTTACTAACCTGGATGTACATAAGACCATACTAAATTATGACCATGAGACGTGCTTAATGACATAACTTGAGTGTCAAAACCTGTGAGGTTAAAATGTTCAAGAACTTCATAATTTATGGCCACGTTTTGTTTTATAGTATATACAGATATTTGACCTTGATTTTCTCCACACCATAGTTCACAAGTCCTAATATAAATTGTATACATGTATTGTAACTAAAGAATTTAATTTGAGTATAAGCATACTTATTACTGTCGACAGCTATAAAATCAAATAAAACAGTGGAACTTCCAAGTTCACTCATAACAAAACTGCCTTCTCCCATGGTCGGAGCTAAGGGTGAAATATCGCTTCGCACAAGAAATATTCTTCCATTTTCTAAACCTATTGCAACCATATGTCTGTCTTTTAGGGTCACTATACACTTTACTCCAACTTTTTGATCTTCTGGTATCAAATAGTAGCTAAACACACATTCACTATCATTGCTCCTATAATTGAAATATCAGAATCAGTTAAATAATTATTAATTAGACAAAAGAAAATTGTAGTTTACGAGTAAGCATGAATCTGTCCTTCAGCATCTCCCAACCAAACACTGTGATCATCTACAGTACAAATAGCTGTAATTTTATGTGTAACATTAGTACTTCTATAATGAAACCAATTGGTATTGCTAAATGCTAATCTATCCAGTTTTCCATTAGAACAAGGTAACCATATTTCATTACCACTATTCTCATTATCTTCACCTGTAAATACAAATTAAAATGTTGATTCTTTATTTGCTCTTATTATAGAATTTATCCACAAATACATTTTTTGGGACCATATGATATGCAAATATATTTAATGAATTTATTTTTTTTTTAAATTTTATTTGGATAAACACATCAACCCCCCTCAAGATACTTTACTGTTTAACCTAAAATTGAATATGCTTTGGTTTTTAGGAACCTATCCATCTTTTTCTAAGGATAATGGTTGAAAGGGTCCAGAGAAAATTATTTAGATTTGGTTCAGAATTATTTTTTGTTAGCAATGGTTTATTGTTATTTTCAGATATAAATTAAATAACTATGCATTCTACTTTCCCATTTTTCTATCCATCAGCAGAATCAACTCTTGTTCAAATTATTTTAGTAAAAATTAACTACATACATTTTACATTAGATGAAATTTGGTAATTCAATAACAATTATTTGATAAATCATTTGTGAAAATAATATATACTTTATACATACTAAGTGGTAATGGTACTCGAGTACAAGATATTACATCAGCTGAATGACTAAGCGATACAACATCATAAAGATGAGTAAACTCGGGAGCTGATACTATAGATACAATTTGACTTGCTGAAGGGCGATCTTTTGGACTTTGTGACCAGCATACTGCCATTAAATCAAGTAAATAACTTGGATATGCTGTTTCCTATAAGAATGATAATGGTAAAATGTTGTAATAATTCAGTGCAGAACGTTTAAAAAATAATTATTCACACTATTATTTAAGACTTTCTTACTCTATAAGTCAATGCAGGTCGGTGTCCTTCTAAAATACTTTCTTTTACAGATTCATGACTTTCAAATGGTTGATGCATTGTGATCAGTTCATAAATAAACATTCCAAATGAAAAACAGTCAACTTTTTCAGTATACTCTTCTTCACCGTTGTATTTTATTATTTCTGGAGCCATAAAACCTTCTGTACCTCCAAATCCCTTAGTGCCAGACGGTAAAGACAGGCGACTAATTCCTGTAAAATAATTTTTGAAAAAAACAAAATAATCATGATAATATATTAATATTGTATAATATAAATAAATATGCTCACCATAATCTGCCATTTTAACATGTGTGTTTATTGCGTAAGGATCTTGGAGTGGTACTGGGATAGACCAAACAAGCACATTTTCACTTTTTAAGTCTCTATAAATAATCCGTTGCTGATGTAAATATTCTAGTGCTTTTGCAATTTGAAAAACAATTTGTTGTAGTATATGAGGGTCAAATTTTGAACCTGATCTTCGATAGTTTCTTAAAATCTGATCCAATGCTCCCATTGGTGCAAGGTCAAGAATAAGTGCTAATGGTTTTGTACAAACACCAATTAGAGGAACAATATTTGGATGTTTCAAATTTAGCATTATATTTAGTTCTTGTCTAGCACTACAATACGATTTGCAGGTATATTGGAGAGGGTCTCTATCCCATTTTGTTTGTGCTCCCTGTACAAATGCCAAAATACTATAATTATTTACAACAAAAATAATTTAAACAAACTTACTTTAAAAGCTATAACAGCAGATTGACTAGCATTAAGTCCTGGAGGTACAGGTTGGAGCATTTTAATAGCAATTTGTAAAGTATGATTGGGCTTTTTTCCTTTACATACTCCCTTGAAAACAAACCCAAATGCTCCACGACCTAATAATTTTCCTCGAATAATATCTTCGTCTTTAATAACTAGTTCCTCCCCCAAATCTAAAAAAACCTAGAAAATGTGTATGTATATTTAAAAAATAGATTTCACCTATTTTAATGATTATAGAAAAATCATACCGTATCAGGAGCTACTTGTGCCAAAGGTAAGTCTCCATGCTTGGGACATACAACACAGAGTTTATCAACTGAAGATGCTGCTAGAATACAGTCTTCCACTATCCAACCATAATGTATTTCGCCATCAACTTGATCTTCTGAGATTAAAGGGTGACCATCAACAGATACTTTTCTACTTGACTGTGGACTGACATCATGTCCAACCCCACTATCACCTCCATCAGAACCATTATAACTTTCTTGTGATTTACGCACAATGTTTTTACTGTCTAGATCTCTTTTTAAAAACTCTTTGGAAATATGTTCTATTTTACCATCATCATATTTCATATCAATTGAAATATTCTCGGTTTCTACATTTCCTGCTAAACATCTTGGGCATGGAACAAGTCTAGTTACTAAACATTTTCCTTCAGACGTATGAACAAATCTAGTACCTAAAGTTGGATACCAATCTTCTAGCAACACATCTATGTGATCTACTACCAAAGCTAATAATTTTGCTGCCTGTACAGGAGAAGGGTCCAACACAATAGCTCTGAACCCTATGTCTTCTTCATCTTTATTTTTTATTGGTCTTTTTATAATTACTGTATCTAAGGGTAAATAAGTTTCGAGAATGGAAGATGTTTTCATTGGCACATCAAACCAAGCATTTTCCTGATACAATTGAAATCTCAGGTATCTATAATTTATGGGAAAACTACGATGCAGTACTTCTTTCATGCGAAATAATGTAATTTTATTAGCAAATTTCAGCTCAATTCCAGTTTGCCATAAAACCCAATCAAAGTGTGTTTGGAAATCTGTGCACATAAAATCATCACCATTCACTTCTGTTGGCATAAAAAATTGTCTTATCACACTGACTATTGTATCGTCGCCAAGTATTCGAGTGATTAATCGAGACCAGAAGCCTGATGGAAAATATGACATAAGTAACAGACGGTGTACAGAAACTTCTGGATCTGAACGACTAGTTATATGTTCTCCAATATCAATTAAATCTAACATTGGTTGACTTGAAGTTCTAGTACGTAAAATACGGGTTTTTGATTTAACAGGTACTTTAATAGACACTGGTTGTGCTTTTTGATTACACATATCTTCTTCAGACGGTAAAAGAGATGGTATTAATAAAGATCTACTATCCCAAGTTAATGCTACTTCAAATTTATTGAGCAAATTAACAATATATTCTCTTGTACAAGTTGATGATTTCAACACAATTTGCAAATCATCCAATTTCATTATTCCTGAACGAGCAAAAGGATTAATTTCCCTAATTGTTACAACATGTGCTAGCATGTCACATAACCACTGTGGATCTAAAAAGTAGAGATCCTTTAATGTTGCATCATCATAATGGAGTAAAACACCTAATAATAAGAACAATTCATTGTAAATAAATAATTCTTTTTGCAAATTCATAAATTATAAATCAATTGCAAACCATTTTCATGCAAGAATAGTATAGCTTGATTAAGTTCAGCCATATCTCGAAAAGATTTATGATATCTAGAAAACATTTCTGCATTCACTGCAGTTTTAAATTGATCCAAGTTTAATACAGGATCCAACCCGGCTTGTCGTCTTTCAGATCCAATATGACTCACAATATCTTCTAGTGCTAAATATGTTGCTGGGACTCTTTGTTCTAATAGAAGTTCTTTACTTCCTATAAAATACATTGAAAATTAAAATAGTCAATTGAATTTAAAAACTAAATATATTAAATTAATTTTTGTTTTGTCAAATTTTCTTTGAAAAAGTTGAAATCTTTCTGTTATAATAAAATATATATATGTTATTTCTGCTACACTTTTAATGGCTTTCTCTGGACCAAATAACTCAAAAATTATTGTTGATTTATAAGCAAATTAAAGTAATTAAGAGTTTGGTTGAATACCACAGTTGTTGAAGGAGGTGAGTGCTTTGACATTCTTTCAGATCCCCTAAATGAAGCTAGGATGATAACAGTCTGTAAATGCGTGGAATTAATATCAAGGATGTGTTTTATTGGGTTTCAATTTTCAATCTCTACCCCTATCATTTCTATAATAAAATTTTACAATTTTCTGAGTTATTTAATTTCAGTAGGTATAGTATTGTATTATTATAAAATTTGGTTCTTTATAATTTTACCAATGAATATTTTTATAATACAAAATAGGAAAATTTGATTAGTGATTTTTTTTCCAATTTAAATATATTTATTTTCAATACATTTTTTATTCTTAGAAATTAAATTTGATGTGTGCTATTTTATAGATTGTCAAATTATGCAGTTTTGTCATTTAATTAATATTTTTTTCTTTAAAATTTTAATATTTATAGATTTTTTTTAAAAATGTAATTTTGAAAATTAGTCATTTAATTTTATATCTCTTTTGTTTATTATTATAAATCTTAAATAGTTCTTAAAAATTAAAATTAAAATTTATATACTACAGTTTGATAAATTAATAAATCAGTTTTGGTTGGATATTTTTATATTTTACCCATTTTAAATATAAAAATAATACAAATATTTAATAATTATTATCTTACCAGGGGGCCTAAGACTGAATACTGTATCATAAATAATATTACATAAGAGTTTTATGTTATGTTTTGTTTTACAACTAATTTCAATTGTATCCAAAACTCTAGGTAAACCATATTTTTCTGCATCTACTATGTTGATAAACCGATCTCTAATTAATTGTTGTAATAGTTCTGAATGATATTCAGGGGACTTGGTGCTTACTACATCATAGTGTGTACCAACAATAATGACTGGAGAATTTGGCGCACGAGCCTGTAAAAAAAGTTAGTTTTGGTTTATTAATTTTGATTTAAATATTTTCTATTACCTGTATGTTGACTAGCCATTGTAAGATTTCTGCGATTCCTCTATGACCATCTGTAATTTTCCAAACTACAATGTATAAACTTCGTTTTGATAGAAAGTATTGATGTGTGGCATAGTATTCATTTTGACCACCAAAATCCCAAGTTCTAAACATAACTGGGCCATATCGTGAATTGCCTCTGATTTTCTTTTCATACACCCAATCACCAATATCAACGCCAACTGTTGAAATATTTGTCCCTTTACTTGTTTTTTGATTAATATTTTTATTTCCCATTCGTTTTGCCCAATGCTATGAAAAAAAAAATGTTACAATTAGTAAAATATTATGAGTTAATGAATAAGTATAAGTTAATACTCATTCATTTTTATATCTTACATCCACAGGTTTTTTTTTGTAATTTCCTGTGCCTTCCTGTCTGAGTTGGTCTAATAAAGATGTTTTTCCTATTCCTTGAACTCCAACAATCATCAACTTCATGCGTGCGTATGGCTTGGCATCTTCAAGAACAGACTTTAAGTAACCAATAACATCCATAGTTTTATACTTATTTGAGTCAATCATGGATTTAAGTGGTTCCTGTAAGCTACACCCTCTAGTGTTTAGATTCCACAATCGTGATAATAGACCCATTTGTGAAGGTAGTTCTATTATATCTGGGAAGATATAATAATATATTATATATTAACAATAATTTTTATACTAAAATTATAATGCTTACCTTTATTTCCACTAATGTTTAAGACAGACAAATTAATAAGTTCATTTATGTTAGAAGGAATTTCTTTTAATTGATTGTTACTTAAATCTAACATACTCAAATTAGGAAAAATTAATTTAGATTTTGAATGTCCCAATACTGTGGCTCCTGTATCCTACAGAAATTAATATCGGAAGTTAATAAATTTAATGTGTTGACACTAAATAATAAATATGAATATTTAATACCCAGTCATCTAATTCATCAGCTGAATCATTTGAAACAGAAGATAATCCATCATCATCAGTTGATAATTGAATTCTATCCATACAATTATCAGCCAACATAAGTGTCCTTAAATTTTCAAGTCTTAAATGTCGTCTGTGTGAACATACCCGGTTTAAAATACTTGCTCTTAATGACATTCTCCTACCTATATTGTTTTGATTTTAAATGTAATTGTTTTGTTTTGCTATTCATTTTTTTTTATATATATATATGGTTTCCAAACTCACTAGTTCGTATTTTTGAAGGTACAGTTGACTTGGGAACTTGCCCGGTTTCCAATCTATAACATAATAGATTTTCTTCAGGTGTAGCTTCTTCTAGATTTATCTGTGGTAAACTAGGCCAAAAACATATTTTATTGTGACTAAGATCTAACTGCTTCAGTGAACTTGGGTATGATGTAATATAACTCATTGTTCTTAAACTAAAATTGAGTATTACAGTTATAAGATTGAATTAAAAATATAATTATAACTCATATTTCACCAATTATACGACATATTGAGTCGTGTTAAGTTTACAGCTAAACATGATAGTACAGGAGGTATGGAGCTAAATCTATTATGTGATAAGTTCAACGATGATAACTGTGAACTATTTGATTTAACTTCTGAAGTATCATCACTTCTCACAATTTGTTCCATAATTTCAATAGTGCGATTCCAAACATTATGATGAATTAATAAGATGTTTCTAAAATAATAAATATTAAATTTCATTTAAAGAAAATTATGTTGTACACAAAAATATTTTTAAACATACTCATCAACATCACTGACATTAATTTTTTTAACTTCATAGACCTTATCCAATATAGGAATTCTTCCAACTGATTTTTCTCGTAAACTTCTGGCTTCATCTTCTGATTGAGCATATGGAAGTTCTTTTATCAAATTGAAAGACATGTTGAGGTCTTTTAATTTAGGAGCACGCCACATTTGAAAAGGTATAGAATGAAGCTTGTTATTAGATAAATCAAGTGTAGTCAATGAAGGTAGTCTGAATAGTTCTTCAGGAATTTTATCTAACCTATTGTCCTATATTGGTTGTAATATTCATAGTTAATTAAACAAACTCATTTAGTATAACAACTTTGACATCACATACTTGTAAATAAAGTTCTTCTAGAACATTAGCCGTATAGATAGCCTTATATATTTTAGATATTTTGATGCTTGTAGGAGAGGTTACTTGATTTATATCTTTTGGATCAGGTAACTTTTCAATTTTATTTTGAGCTAAATTCAAATATTTGAGACTTTGCAATTGAAAAATGATGGCTGGCACTCGTGTAAGTGAATTATTTGATATATCTAATCTAGTTATGGCAAACAAAACAATTTCTTTACCATTAGGATTTCTTTTCAGGTTAGGATTCATATGAAGAGCAGCATCAATCTAAAAATAAAAAACAATTATTTAAACAAAATACATGGGCAACATACATTTATCACCATAATAATAAAACATATTCTAACCAGCCATTGTGATTTTATGTTTTCAAGTTTACACCTTTGACTATGCCAATTTATCATAACCGGAGTACTAGGAAATATGTTACTGTAAGTTAAACTTGATAAACCGCCAAATTGTGAAACAATATTATCCGTCATAGATTTTTTATTGATTTTGTGTTCAGGATCAGCAAATGATTTGGTTCCAAGTAGCGTTGTGATTAAATGTTGGTTTTTACTCATCATTGCTGCTGCAAGAGCTTTGCATTCATCATCTCTGGCCCCACTTTTCAATAACAATTCAACTATAGATGTATCACCTTTACTACATGCTAAAGTCAGAGGAGAACAACCAGCTTCACGAATGTCATCATCTTTTTGCTGTTTTAAATAAAATGTGTAAACAAATTTATATTTAATATATATATAAAACACTTACTTTGTAATCAATGCTTGGTTGTAAAGTAAGCAAATTAGGACTGGCATGATTATCTAATAATGCTTCAACAATTTCCTTACATCCATTCCGTACTGCAGCATGAAGAGCCGTTTCTGGGGCTTCATCGTTGCAATATATATTTACTTCTATAGGTTTTAAGCTTTTCTCATTTAAGTCAATTTCTTTTGTCAGACTTCCTCTGAGCCTAGAAACTATTGATTGTATACCCTCTGAAATACGGCTACGTTTTGATATATCATTATTATCATCTTTTGTAGAAGTTCCATCAGAAGCACAAATCTGAATATATAGGTTACACAACAATTAATAATTAGTACACATTTTAAATTTTTATTTTTTATTTATACTTTTATTGCTTTCACTTGGTACTTCAATAGTAAGTCTACAATTTTTGAGTTGCCTAAGAGACATGCAAGGTACAATACTGTTTGACCATTGACATCTTTTGTATTTATGTCAAATGGAACATCAAATTCCCAAATGTCTTTCCTATAATCAAATTTTTAATTAAAAATGAATAATGTTATAAATGAAACTTATTATATTTATAAACACCTCAATTTTATTAATGTATTAGGAGGATAAGGATATTTTAGTAGAAGTTCTAAAACTTGAATATTTCCATTTATACATGCCGCATGAATTGGCAACCATTTTTCTACAGTAGTTTGTCGAATAAGATCAGGAAATTTCTGAAATTTCAATAAAGATAATAAATTAGAAATAAAGCATGACTATTTTTATACATTAATAGTACCTTGAGAAGAATTTCGACAATATCTTTTTTTCCTTTAAATGCAACTATGTAAAGAGGAGAATACCGAGTAATTGGATGTATTCTTCCATCAGCCTTATGATCAAGTAACATTTTTACTATGTCTTTTCTACCCACTTCACAAGCACTAAGAAATATATATTACTTTACATATAATATATTTTTATAAAAATAGAAATAGTAATATTAGGTATAAATTATAAAGCAATTATAAATAATATACCAGTACAACAAGGTGGTACTTCCATTAGGTGCCATATTAACAATAAATTCTTTGAACTCTTCTTTAAGTTCTGACAATATAGTCTTGGTTGCACTAAAATCTCCTCTGCAAATAGCATCTCGCAATGCCATATGAACAGTGTTCTGAGACTCTTCCCAAAAATCTATAATAAATACACAGATAAAAACATTAAGAACATTAAAATATAATATGTTTAATGTAAATAAAATTGTAACTCAGTTTTAAATTTATGTTTTATTAAAAATGCCAAAGTAAAAAAACAACAACATATTTCTGCTAAAAATTTGCTTGTGTAATACACAAAACCTTACCATATTGATGTGTTTTATTAATAAAATAACTGCAAGTATCTATCCCAGTTTTTGGTTTTAAACACTTGTTTGTAAATGGACCACTTGGGATCAACCAACTAAACATTTTTGGATCATTGCAAACACGCAATATTCTAGTTTAATGACACATGATATTAATGATTTTTTTTTATTGTAATGTACTAGTAAAATGTTTGGAATTGGTATGACTAAAGTAGGGAAATAATATAATAATAGAAATTTCTATAATGCTGTATAAACGTGCCGTGACTGATTTAGCATGGACATAGGACCTTGTCAGATAAATTTAAACCTAGATTCCAATTATTATTATATAGGTACTATTCATTGTTGTAAAAATGTAAAACTTATTATAGCTTACATATCTTAGTGGACTAATATTCATATATTTACTATGAAATATTTTTTGTACACCTAGGTATTTTCAAAATGTTTATAAATACTATTTACAGTATAAAGATAGGGTAAACAGCAGGGATATTAGGTAACTACAAAAATATATATAAAAAAAGTGCAATATTATGCCTAATATATTTCAATACACATAAAAAATGTTTAACATGAAACACGAAATATTTTGAAAATGTTATTTTGTTGAAAAAGAAAACTCTTTTGCACAATTTCTTCACGGCGAAGTATTTTAATGCAATCAACTGTATGAAAAATAATTTTTGACACGGTATTAGTTTTAACTCTTGACATTGATTGAATTACATAACAAAAATGACTAAGTAGTTATTGTTAATTTTAAGGTTATTCAATTTCAAGTAAGATTGCATAAAATAGACAAAACCTACATTACAATAATATTAAGGTCTTAACTTAGTTATTTCTATATTATTGTTACATCACAAATTAAGATCTATCTTAGTTTGTGAATCACACATTAATCAACAAAATTAGAAATCTATGATATAAGTTGATTTAATTTATATACTGAAAGCAAAGATAAATCATTGTGATCAAAAATCATGTTATGAAAAGTAGGAATTTTTACAATTTTCATCAAAATTTGATCTTAAACAGACTATAAAAAAAATTTATAATGAACCTAAAATTTAAATTTTCAATCATTTATGTTTTATTAAATTATTTTATCCACAGAATACCGAAATAAAAATTACATAAAATAACTTAGAAATATAAAATGCCTATAAATAAGCGAAAAATGTATTGAACACTTTACCACGTCTAGTAAATTCTTTTAAAAGTATTCGGTGAAAATTTCAGTTTTCTACAATAATTGTTAACCAATTTACAAGAAAAATCAAAATCGAAAATAACAAAACCATCAATGCTGTAAATATTCCCGAATTTCCTAGAAATTGGACGGAAAATCAAAAAATGACTTACTTACCAACCAATCAGATTCAAAATACAACAATAATGTTCTCTTGGCATTTTTCGATTGGAGAAATTTTTCTGTTAGAATAAATAAGTCATATGGAAAAAAAGCACACATATTAAAGGAATGTATTGGACATTCTACAGTCTGCTCAGAATTGAAAAAGTTAAGCGTTCATGCGTTTTTAATATCAACAGAATATAATAATAAAAACAAACACACATAGTTAATCCAATAGATGTCTCGTTATGCTTAGAATCTAAAACCATGCATACATCTACTTCACCAATCCATTTTTTTATTTAAATGTTTACCGTGTTTACCATGTTTACCGACCTTGATTCTCCAAATGTTTGATTTTTTTATAGAAACTATTATTAAAAAGACAGACATACTTTGCATGATGGTTGCAGCTGTTTTTGGTAAGAAGTTAGGAATTTAGGACATAGAGGGGAAATTAGTTTGTATCTGTAAGCAACGATAAAAAATTGCTAGAGGGGAAATTTAATGTATATTTGTAGACAATGATTAATCATTGTTAACGAAAAACAATTCTGGGCGATGTTCGATTATATATGCAACCAGTAATTTTGCATTAGACTGGCCAACAAAAACTAGTTGTCGAAAAGTTTTTGATTTTCTGGGGACTCAGGTATTTAACTAATATGCCACTATACATTAAAAAAAAAAAAAAAAATTCCCCCCTGACTCCAATATGAATATGCTATGTCTAAAACTAAATAATTTATGTAATATATTAAATAACTTTGTAAATAAATATGTTTAATAAATTTGTCTTTATTTAAAAATTTAATTTGCACCTGTATCAGAATTATTTATAAACTATGATAACCCTGGGCCTCCACACGAGTTTTTTTCAGTGAGGACCAGTAATCTTTCTATATTAATTTAAATAAATAAATAAATATATATATATATTTTCAAAAACCATAATTCTTACGGTTTGAAAACAATACATTTCGTGAATTTTTTCATTTATTCTCATTTATTGCGAAAAATCTTTGGGAAATCAAAAAAATGATCTTCTTAAAGAACTGCACCAGTTAAATTTCCACTCAGAAAGTGTTACACTTGAAAATTAGAACAAAATTCCTTGTAGAAATGTTATTCACAAAAAAAAAAAATTAATTAACATCATTTTAAATCCAATAAAACTAATATAAAAGTTATAGATTTTCGAAGGTTGTTTGAAGTTTTTATGGTTATGCAAATCCAACATGAGTATGTGAATGGAGATTGTCAAGAAGCCGTGGGTTGTAAAGTGATGTTAAGGTTTACATTTTAGGCACTATCATACTTGCAATAGTTCAAGTTTGAAAAGTCAGTGGTATTCCCCCCTCCCCAGGTAAAGGGTAGCCGAAGAGCCCCTCAAAGCATTACTAGTCAGCAAGTGAAATCAACAGGCATAGTGAGCCCTATAACAGAAATTGTTTGTTCCATGTATTATACATATTGACACATATACATATTTGTACATATTATATAAATAATTTTTTCCAAAAAATGTCATTGCACCATTATCTTCAGCATTAAAATCATTGATTTTTGAATGGTTTGAAGTTTCTTTGGCAAAACTTCTTTAATAAAAGTGTTTAAACAAAACGGACATACTTTGTAGGTGGGTAGGCCACTGTTATAGGTGAGAAGTTAGGGAGGTAGTAGAGGGGGAATTTAATATATATCTGTACACAACAATTAACCATTGCTAACATGAAAATTTATTCTGATTGGAGTTCGGTTGATAGTGTTGCTTTGTCAACAACAAACATACATCATATCATGGTAAAATTATTACATATGTGTTATACTATATTTTCATTAATAATATTTGTTTAATATTATTAGTGATTTTCCCGTTTTTTTTTTTGCATTTATTATGAAAACTCCTGGTAAATTCATAAAATAACCTCCCTAAAGTACCACTCCAGTTAGATTTCCTTTCAGAAAAAGTACTATCATTGTAAATTGGATCAAAACTGCTGGTAGAAAAGTTGTCCACAGAAGAAAAAAAAACACATCATTGTAAAACCAATACATTCCTTGTTCCACTCAGAATCTAGAAACTGCTACTAGTAAATTTAACACATCTTAATAAAACTGATAGCTTCTATGATACACTCAATCTAAACTTTGACATTCATTTTATTTTTAAATTAAATCAAAATGTATATAATTTTATTCAATTTGTACATTTTATTTTAATTCATAATCACATTATTTTAATTATATCTATAATTGTAAATTATTTTATTTTTAAAAATATCCATATGTAGTTCAAAATAAAGTAGGACTATTGATATCAGAATCTTTACATAAATAAAATATTTATATTTGTAAAATATATACATTTTATTTATGTAACAATTGATCATATTATGACAAATTTAATTCTTAGTATTTGACCATATTTTGACTGAGTGCCGATTCTAGTTCAATATTTTTCTTACGAAGAAAATGTCTAAAAGAAATTGAATTAATTATATGAATAGCCTAATTTTAAAATATTCATATAAATAATTGAGTAGATAATGAACCATATATCAATGGAATAGATTATTATTAAGGAACTTCTAAAGCACTTATTTGATTTAGCAAGAACAAACCAATGCATGTTCTATAGTAGTGACTTTTTATTTATCAATTTGCTATTTAAAATAATTAAATTTAATTGCATAATCTATATAACAATTAAATAAAAAGTAAGATAATCAAGTTTTTTTTACTAACTAATGATTTAATTAAATAATTTTTTTATTTAAATATATGAAGTTCTAAAATTTTATTGGTGACGTAACAGAACCATATAACATACAATTATAGTTACCTATATCTTTGAAAATCGATTTCAAGAAAAAAATTGGGATTAAAATATTTATGAATGTTAACACTAAATTATTAAATATCTGTAGTCTATAAAATATCACATTGTAGGATCACTATCTACTTCACAAGTAATTTTAATATTAATGAATGTTGAACATTTTTTTTTTTTAAAACTCAAAATAGAAATTTATTAATAAAATTACCTGAAGCATCTTTAAGTAATTTGCTGCAAACAGTATTTTCTTCATTAAGGGCTATATCAAGAGCAGTAAATCCATTAGAATCTTGTAACATTAAATTTGCATTGTAATTTAAAAGCGTTTGAATATTTTTTGGACATCCAATATGTGCGCTTATATGTAGTGCTGTCTGTAAATATGCAAAAATTAATTCAATTACAATATATTCTTTTTCTTTACCCTAATACCTAATATAAAATCTTAAAACAACTAGGGTATTTTAAAATATTTAACACAAGTTATATATGTAATAGATGGATATTTTTAATTTGTATTCTCAGCAGGGGGTATAGGACAATTTAAAATCTTTTAAGTTATTATGACTTATACTTTGAAATTTACATACCCTGGAATCACCTCGTGGCCCACAAGGGGTATCTACAAGAGCTAAAGTAAAATAAATATAAATTAATTCTTAGGAAAGCACCAGCTGTTTATAGCATCAAATTATGAAGTATTACCACCAGCATTAAGTAGTATTTCTAAACATTCAGAACCTTCATTTGAACAAGCTGCATGAAGAGCTGTACGGCCCCATGAATCACGGCTGTTAATGAACTGTTTATGTTCTTCATCTTTGAGGAGATCAGTTAAGAAGTCTATATTGTCCCATAATGCTACCTAAAAAATTAAAGCAGTTCTTATGTTATGTATTATATCTAATTGTTTGACGACTTGTAAATTATTTATAATATTATAATAATTTACCTGATGTAACAGGCGACCTGGAAAATCTTCATCTTCAGCCATAATTTTAAGACTTTAGTGAAAAATATGGTTCTTCTTTCAGTAAACATTTCATAAATGGCATTTATCGGGCAACTTACCTCGTAAAAGAGGCATTTTGTTTACACTTTAAATTACAGGTTTACTGGCACAAACACCTGTGCCAACAACAACTGTCAACCAGTGCATTATGTCAAATACTATGAAATAGCAAAAGTTTGAAATTTGTTCAACTTTTTTAATGAAAAATTGAATTTTTTTATCAATACTGTATCACCTTATCAATATTATAAATTATACACATGAAGTTAGAATCCATCTTATTGTATAATATTGGTTATGACGTTAATATCAATACCTAATGAAGGGATACTCGTATATTATGATAAATGGGTAGGTCAAACAAATTTTAACTTTTAACATCTCTGCCCTTGGGTTCAGAATTAATTTTTCTTCAACGAACTATTCTTATCTTATTTTATCATTTTTACTCCATTCCGTTTATTTCTTCTGGCAATTTAACTCGTAATATATTTGTAAATTACTGCTAATTTATTTGTCAGAAATCGTAATTTAAAATTTTAAGAAAATGAATGGTTCATCAGTTTTAAGGAAACACAATTTTAAGGTAACAAATGTATATATTGTTAATTTAAAAGAAAATAAATGTCAAATAATTTTATTTAACCTACTGAAGGTCAGATTTGAGTTGTGAAGTATAATAGCTTATTCATTAGTTTAATAGTTTCTATTACTATATAATTCTTATTTAACGACGCCTACCAACATTATATTGTTATAATAAAATGTCATAGGTTTTTTTTAGATAAAACTGATATCAAATAGAATATTTCGATGGTTTTCATATTGAATTACTATGTTAAATTTAATGAAAGAATACAACAATATTTTTTTAGCAAAAACGCATCATTTTTCTATCAAATAGTTATATAATATTGTTTTAATTAATCTAATTTGATCAAAATAATCAACTTAATGCATATTTTATATATTTAAGTAGGTACCTATTTAAATTTAAAGTAATTTACCTATATATTATTAAATCAGCTATGACATTTTGTGTTTAAAATGTGCACATATGAGTGAATTAACAATAGACTATCTTTAAATAATAACTTTACAATTTAGGTAGGTATTCATGTTAATTTTTAATGTATGAAATAAAACAATAATATTGTTATAGATACATTCTTATAGTGGATTAAAAAGAGGCGTTGAAATAAAAAGTAAACAATTGCAATCGATGCATGTGATATATAAATAGTTCAATTAGGTTTTAATAAGAAGTAAACCTATACTGAAATATCTTATAAATACCTTATGTATACATTTAAATTTTAAATGTATATCTTATGTTGAATTGCAGAAAATGTCAATTTGGTTCTTTGTACAAATTGTAAATTTATCCATTTGGTTAACCAATGAGTTCAGTAGCATTGGGACATATCGGGTTCAACTGTTAAGCTAAAAATTGTCAACATCATATTTAAATATCATCTACAAAGTATTTAATTGTATATTATATACCTTATATTGTTTACATCATCCAAATCCTTATAATTGAATACCTAATTTTATGTAATATTGTTTGTATATAAAATATTCAGTAGGTATGCATTAATTATTTTACCACTGTTTGTTTACTTAATGAATTAAAATGTTAAATATAATTTATTGCAATGGTATAAGTACCGCACTATATTATCATTTCCCATTTTGTTCATATTAAGATTTATGATAGTCAAATATAAATATATAATTTTTTTATTAAAAATCTCGGATACCTAATATATAAGCACCTAAATATTAAAAAAAAAAATGTTTGTGACTATTGAGTATCCACTATTCTCCCATCTCCTTTAAGATAAAACTACTATTATTCCTGAGTGTTACAGACTCCTGGAGGCCCTTGGTCTTATGACTAAACTACTAACTCAAAAAACCTTGTGATTTTAGTATTCTGATTAAATTAAACAAATATAAACCTTTAGACAGATGTTTTAGTTACATTACTTTTAGATTACATAGATTAACTTTTAATCAATGATGCTCTAATGTATGATTTTTTTATTTTGTTGAAATAATATAATTTATTAATTTTTGACTTGAAATTATCTGCAATCTGCAAAGAAAATGATCTTGGAATATTAAACATAACACTTTATGTTATTGAATATTAACTTTTCAAAATGTGTATATGGTACACACATAAGAATAGGTTTTGAACCACTGCTCTATAATATGTTACATAGATAAATAATTCCAATATTTTATAATATTCATTTTTTTTGTGTTTATTGTTTAAATCAAGCTACTTTATTCATGTACCTATTTAAATTTTTTACTCATTTTTGGATTTTACCTTCTCAATAGTTGTTTTTATGTGAGTGGTTATCACATTTTTATTTGAAAAATATATTTATTTTATACATTTATTATTGTATGATACAATAAAATAAGTAAATTAATATAACAATGTTTTTTGTTCTATCGTAGGCAATGCTGGTGTCCATTAATTATAGATTAATAATAATTGTTTGGTATAATAAATCAAAATTACAGCTCTCATAAACAAATTTTTAAATTAAAAAATTTAAATGATTTTAAACAAGTAACAATATTTATAATTGTATTTCAATAAAGAAACATGTTTTTACTAAATTTAGCTTTTGAAAATATATTTCTGAGTAAATAAACTTATTAATGTGTCTTAAAATTATTCAATATTTAATTATTTTGTCAATGTTATTACAATAAACACTAACTATGTTACTGCAATTTATTACATCAAAACATCAAATCAATATGTTCATTTTTATTTAAAAATAATAATTACTTACTATTAACGTGTCTTAAATATTGCTTGAACTTAATTGATTTTTAATAATTGGAACTTTTCAAAATGAATAAATTTTCAAAAACTTAAATTGCTTAAATAATATTCTATTAATTTACCGTATCACTTAAATCGGGTTTTAGCTCTATCAAGTACTTTGCGATTCTCACGTTTATTCTCTTCAACGTATAAAATAATATAATAATTTTTACTTGTAACTTTATGGTGTATGAACAAGCATTGCATTAATTAGTTTTATTTTACTATTGCATTATATTTGTTTTTTTATGATTATTATTATAACACAAAATGTAGTGGGTGTGTATGGTGAATGGCCATTATGACACAGCTAATCTAATTATTAAGTAGAAATTGTTTCATCATATTTTTAAATTATTTTTCATTTTTATAGAATGTTTTGTCCATCTTGGAAAATCGATTGTTTTCAACCACATCAGAAGCAACGTTTGAAACTAAGGTACTAAAAATAGATTTATTATTTTGTGTATTGATATTTTCTGATATTTAATTTATGTACTTTTTATATAATTAATTGTGTAGCCTTTTAAGTTACACCATCTTGAAAATGGACCTAGTACAACAGTCACACTATCTTCAGAGGATGCTCTTAAATATTACAAACAAATGCAAACTATTCGTCGTATAGAAACTGCTGCTGGTAATTTATACAAGGAAAAAATTGTTCGAGGTTTTTGTCATCTTTACTCCGGACAAGTAAATTACTAATTTGTTAAATAATATAAAATATTATTGAATTTAAATTATTAGATTTAGAGATTTACTATATTTAGATTATAATATGATAATTATTAATTAATAAGTAATATTTCATTATTAGTAAGAATCTTTGAACATTTTTTTTAGGAAGCATGTGCAGTAGGAATGAAAGCTGTGTTTCGTGACACAGATTCAATAATTACTGCATATCGCGCTCATGGTTGGACATATCTTATGGGTATTGAACCATTTGGTGTGTTATCAGAATTAACAGGACGTAAAAGTGGAAATGCCCGTGGTAAAGGTGGTTCTATGCACATGTATGCAAAAAACTTTTACGGGGGAAATGGTATTGTTGGAGCACAGGTAAATTTTTTTATTTTCATTATGGATAGAATTAATCTAATTTATTATAAGTATATTTATTCTATTAGTGTTTTAAAATCTAATGGTTAGTACAATTTTTAGGTACCACTCGGAGCTGGTATAGCTTTTGCTGCTAAATATTACGGTAATGGTGGTGTGTGCTTTTCCTTGTATGGCGATGGAGCTGCTAATCAAGGGCAAGTGTTTGAAGCTTATAATATGGCAAAATTGTGGGATTTGCCTTGTGTGTTTGTTTGTGAGAATAATGGCTACGGCATGGGAACTAGTTCTGAGCGATCGTCTGCTAGCGTAGCATATTATACACGAGGAGATTATATTCCTGGTATCTGGGTAGATGGAATGGATGTTTTAGCTGTCAGAGAAGCTTCTCGTTTTGCCATAGATTATTGTACTAATGGTAAAGGACCATTGGTTTTGGAAACTGCAACTTACCGTTATTCTGGACACTCTATGTCTGACCCAGGAACATCATATAGAACCCGTGACGAAATTCAAGAAGTGCGACAAACAAGAGATCCAATTACATCGTTCAAAGAAAAAATAATCGGAGCTAATTTGGTTAATATTGATACATTAAAGGTAACTATACTTATTTTAAACTAATTTCAAGTGAATTAAATTGTGTTGAATTATTCTAATTATTTTTTTATTTTAACAATTATTTGAATAACAAATATTCGAGTATAGTTGATTTTGACATCATGTTAAAATCTGAGTTAAACTATTGTTAAATAATAATTGGATATGCATTGATTACATCATATGGATTTTAGTTCTTAAAGTTGTTGTGTCTGTTAAATATATTAATAATTCATAAAAAATATTTTTTTTTTTTTTTTTTTAGGCAATTGACAAAGAAGTTAAAGCTCAAATAGACGAAGCTGTAAAGAAAGCAAAATCAGATACAGAAATAGGATTATCGGAACTTCCAGGTGACATATATTCAAATCCACTTGAGACAATTGTAAGAGGAGTTACTCCATTTAAGAATTTGGAACACATTCGAGTTGGCCCAGCTGTTAATTTGAAATAATTTTTTTTTTTTAAATGTATACTTTATGATTATTCTTTAAATTTTAATTGCACTCTTTTTAAAATTATAAGCTCAGTTGTTGTATTCAAAATTAATTATTAGGTATTATGTTTGTTTATAGAATAGATTATTCTAAATGCTATATTAAAACATTTTACTTTTTCGTTTTTTATTACAAGAAAAAAAATATATTTTTGTTAGTAAAAAACATATAACATATTTATTTACCTTTTAATACCTTTTAGGTAATTTGTCAAATCAAAATGTGTATAAAAGCAATGAAAAGTTATATTTGTTATCTAATAAATAGATTAATATAATAGACAATATATTGTTGTTCAAATTATGTTTTCAAGTTAATTTGAATTATGTAGTCTTAAACTTCCACAATTATGGTGATAATATAAAGAAGATGTTTGGGTATTATTGAAATGTTTGTGACTAAAGTAGATAATGAAATCAGTCTTTTTGGTACTCTATTTTACTCAAGTATCCGACTAATCATTTTTTCGTTAGCATTGGTTAGGTAATCGTTGCATACAAAAATACATTATATTCTCTTCTATATCCTTTCTTCTCAACTTCTCACCTACAACAGTGGCTCACCCATCTTGCAAAATATGTCTGTTTTTTTTTTATTTTAAGAATATTTAAAAAGCAAATAATTTTTAGAGTATTAATATTACAAATTGATGATAATATTTGAATTATAACAGTCCTTCCCAATTTGTGATTGGCTTAATAAATAACCTTAAAAACCGAATAAATGTATGAGAGTGATATATACATATCTTACCAGGAATTTATATATAAAAAAAAATCAATTTGCAAAGATATAACAAAATAATATATTTTTAGAATCAAAATTGAAAATGATTAATTTAATTCAAGTTTTAGATTCTAAGTGTAGCGATATAATGTACCTATTGGATTTACAATGATGTTTTTTTTTTTATATACTGTGGTAAAAAGGTTTCTACCAGAAATCTTCCTTCAATATATAAGTGTAGCATCTTTGTTGAAAGAAAATATTGTTATATTGACTAGACGGTACTTTAGGAAAGTCATTTTTTTGATTTTTCAAACAGTTTTCATAATATTAGGAAAACCCAAGATAAAACGTAAAAAAAATGGGAAAATTTATGAAAATAATCCTTTTATTATTTTCAATATTGTTTTTTGTTGTAATTCAGTTAAAAATATTCGTAGAGACTTAAAATTTGGACAGAAAACTTATATTTGCCTTTTATTGACGTGTTTAAATTGTTGACCAATTTATAGACATTTTAATTTTGCGAGTTTTGTACGTAATTTTTATTCGGTGGGCACTCTGTGGATAAACTTGTTAGACCTAACAGAAATGCTTGAGAATTTAATATTCATTAAAAGTCGTACTTTGTGGTAAGAAAAAAATGTTGAGCAGAGGCTAACTGGCTTATCACTTTTAAATATTCATCGAAATGAAAATATTGTTGATCAAACCGTTTGCAAAACGCTGCTTAAAAGTATTTTGGACTTGGTCAACTTTTGCTAATTATTATTATTATTTTTTTTTTGTTATTCATATTATTATTATTTATTTAACATGAAAAAAATTAATTAAACTTTTAAACTGTACTGTTTTATCGCATTTGTACAATATATCTGCAGTCTTCTAAGCTAATATAAGTTAAAATGATATCAGGTTTTAAGTTTTTGTTAACAAAGCAGCGGTATTCAAGAGTAAAAATTGTTCCCCCCATGGAATTGACCCGAAGACGGCCCCGAATAATACTACTAACCGAGCTCTCCACAGAATCAAAAATAAATATGAGACCAACAGAATGTAACTGATCATTTGCAGTTGATTCCATGATAATTTGAAGTTAATTCACGTTAATATTACAAAGTTATAATAAAAAAAGTATGACTTGAAAATTCGTTATATTTTGAAATTTTAACGACGCACGGTGGGCCTATGTTATGACTGCTGTAACTAGTTCAACCCGTGTGCTTGAAACCGGTTTCAAATGCAGTATGAACTCCTCTATCTATTACATATCATAATACGATAAGATGGTTCGATTCGATAAAAGGTTTTTTTTTTTTTTTTTGCAAGCTTTCGATGTCGTTGGCCCCTGTGTGCAGTGGTTGGTAACCAAGACCTGATTTCGATGGCCGACATCATTATTCGGCTAATAATTGGTACCAGGTTTGTTTAGAAATGGCGTACCCGGAACACCAGCTCTAGTGGTCATAATACTCGTCGGGGATTTGAGATTAAGTTCCACGAGAAACGACTTTCTATAATAAAATGTAACCAATGTATGTATTAACTATACAATTTACCTACAATATATAGTGCACATACAGTTATTTATAATTTGCGCTTTTCACGTATTTATATATTAGATACATTTAGGTACTATCTCCACGAGGTGATCCATTCGGCTACGTGTAAACTCCTACTAAAATAATCTTTTTACCCGAATTTAAAACATAGTGTAAACTTCTACATAGTCCCTTTTCACCCGCCTAAAATAGATGGTGAATCTCTTTCACAGATCTTTTTACATTGTTAAGTTTGAATTAGGTAATGACTTATTTTATATTGCAACACTTCTTACGGGTACTCTAGAATTGCCTCCGAAAACACCCGGAGGCAATTCAAATGGAAAAAAGTCATCCACCTGAATACTCAAACCATCCACTCGAAGTGCTTCCCAAAGCATACACAGATTATAAATTAATATTTCGGTAGTTGACGTGTAATGAAAATGTCAGTATTTAAAGGTATTTTAATTTTTGACTATTAAACATAATGATGTTTATTTATTGATTGTTTAATATTTTTTATTATTATTAATTATCTAATGTTCTATTGGTACTGTAAAACATAATGCTGTTTTATTTAAATTATTATTTTTATTGATATCCATTTGCTATTTTGACATCGACTTATTACTTAATACCGTGTGTTAATGTCTACTAATAACATGTGTACTATATAACGTCGTGTACTTAATATCTATGTATATTGTATAATTGTTTTTGTTTTAAAAAAATCGAAATAGAGATCGATTCCGATACAAGAAGGTCACTACCTAAAAAAAAATAAAATAGGAGGCAATTCGAGTGAATGATATTTTTGAAACCGGAAGGCGAATCGAGTAACCTTTTTAAAAAAAATATTCACGGGAGGCAATCGACAGTCAGATGGGACGCAATTCGTGTGCGCCCTTTTTTACCTATACCTATTGCGGTTGGTTTGTATATATTGCATGCTATTGTTATTTTGGAGATATTATATTAAAATCTAACAAAAATAAAATTTAATAAACATATTACTATAATCGTATCGTATCGGAAATTCTCGAAAATTTCTCTAACGTTATTCGATACGTTATTTCCGTAGGTATATGGAAATACAACAATATCTTTCTCTTTTTTCCACCACTCAGAGATAAAATGCTTACAGCATCTATAACTGTATTATTCCTGACTATTTACTAATTTTACTTATTTAAAAATATCTATTTTTTGTAAGAGTTAACACTATATTTTATGAGAGTTAACACTATGTCAATGTAGGAGATTACACAATTTGTGGGAGTTTATTATACCCCGATCTATTTATGTTGATGCACTCATTGTCTCGGCATGTATTAACCTTTATCAAAAATTTGTTTTTGACAATTTAAGAAACTAGAAACTCTAAAATGTTACATTAGATATCATTTTTTTTTTTTTTGTCATCCTTACTTTTGAGGGTGAAACGACTACCTATATTTCTGATCTTCAAATGACAACTTGTATTAAAAATGCACGTATAAATAAATAGAGTATTAATTTAAATATATTTTTGATGTTAAATTTCTTTATTTCAGTCAACCTGTTGCGAGATATTCCACTTTTAAGTTTGAATGGGGGAGAGTACATCATTTGTGTGGTGGCACAGGACGTGCCGTTCGATTTAATTATTTTTAAAAAATGTTAATACTTTCCGAATTACTGTACCCATTTTAATGGATCATCTTGTACCTATATACCGTATGGCATATTTGGTATATTTTTTAGTTAGGTCTAACTGTGTATCTTTATTGCCGTATGGATATGTTTTTTTGTTTTATTCGTTATCAGTGCGCATTGCAGCGATCTTCTATAAAATTTGCATCTTTGGCGAAGTAGTGACTGCAGAGTAAACTCAGGTTTCATCGCTCGGAGAATGTTTTAATTTTAGGCTTGTATATCGATTTGACCTTGCAGTCCCTACCTTCTATAAAATAAACTACGCTGTAGTCTAACTGAACGATTTTTATATACGATAGTGAGTTGTAGGTGTACGTTGTTTGAGATTTTATTTTAAAGAGATGGGGAAAAAAATTAACATACAATAGCAGTTCGAACTTCTTAGGTAATTGCTTATATGCGCTGTTAAATCGCGAGATAAATTTATAGTTTGTACACCGTCTACATTTTGTGTAACTACATATAGGTATAGCTAGTTACTTTTTAAAATATTAATATTCCAATAGATATAAAAAACAAAAATAATATAAATAACTGTTTTGGCCACTGTTGTAGGTGAGAAGTTGAGAAGGTAGGATATAGACGGAAATTTAATGTATATATGTATAAACAACGAATAACCATTATTAACAAAAAAAAAAAAAAAACGATTCTGAGCTGAGTTCAGTTGATAGTATTGCTTTGTCAACATTATATACCAATGTCAAGTTATGGTAAAACAATTGCATATTATGTATTAAACATTTTCTTGTACCTATTTTCCCGTTCTCTTGGTTTTCCCATGTTATTTCCGGATATTTCTCATTCATTGGGTAAACTACTTAAAAAAATAAAAAAAACGACCTTCTTAAACTACCAGACTAGTCAGATTTACTTTCAGAAAAAGTGTTACACTTGTAAATCGGAGCAATGTTTCTGGTGGAAAAGTTATTCACAGATAAAAAACATAAATAAGTAAACATCGTTGTAAAACCATAAGCTTTTTAGCTCCGCTTAAAATCTGAGACTCTTAAATAGAACGGTGTAATTAATACACCTGGGTAATAAAAAAAAACCCAGCTATTGTAGGTTAACCTAACCTACCTATTTAAAACTGTAACTTAACTGAATTATAACTGATGTACCCATTTTGTTTTCGATTTAATTGGTACCTAGATAACTTGGCGCATACTAGTCACCTCCTGAGGTCAAAAAGGTCGATAATATTAATGCGAATTACTTCCCGGGTATATCGAAGTTGACTCCCGGCGTACCCTAAACTTTATCGTAAACAAAAAGGGTCTACTACTAGTTGCCGCCCAATAGGCAGGTAATGCATGTATAAGCGGTTCATGAAAAT